TCTATTGTCAAAAAATCGAATTAAGAGATAAAAAAAATAAAAAAATAAAATCAGTAATTAATAACCAAAAAATACAAAATTCAAAATTCACAAACGGTAGAACCCTCATATATACAGTAGACAATATCCCTAAATAAACAAATCATCGAATTCCACCACCTATCGTTCAGAAAAATCGAGTTAAGATAAAAAATTAAACGATAATAACACCATAAAACTCAAAATTTACGACAATTCTGAACTGTAGAGTCCTCATAATTAAGGTAGTCAATATACTTATAAGCATAATTAACCATAAACCATTATCCATCTATCGAAAATCGCAAAAAATTATAAAAGGGCAAAAATTCGATAAAATTATTATTAAAATAAACAAATACAGTAAACCCAACCGGTAGAATCCAAAACATTGAGGCCATCAACATATCTATACACCAAAACCATCATAAAGCGTCCCCTATCGTCCATAAATATCGAATTAAAAACCCATAAATAATAAGAGATACAATTATAATAATCAACAAATGTAAAAATTGAATCAAACCCGTAAAATCTTAGTTACTAAGGCCATAATAATACCTATATATACGATTCATCAAATGCGCCATCTATCGTAAAAAGTACAAAAAAGAAATAGAAAGCAAAAATGATAGAAACCCATAAGAACGAGTAATTACCCTAGAACTATACGGTAGAAACCTCTAGCTTAAGGCCCTCAATATGTTCATATACCAAAGATATCATAAGAAACCATCTGTTGACCAAAATTATCGATAAGAGCTAATATCAAAATATAATAAAACTATAAGGAACATCAATTACCCTAATTACCCTAAACCCAGATGGTAAACCTATAGCAAATAAGGGATAAATATATCTACCTATGTAACACCTCGAAACGTATCACCTATCGTATAAAGAAAACAAATTAAGAAATAAAAGTAATATAATATAATAATTGAAAGAATCTACAGGAACAATAAACCCAAAAGATAAAACCAGGTCTAAAAAGAAATTAATCACGGAATAATATACGGCCTAAGGGCCTCTTGCTGGTATTCACACACCTGACGTTAGTATCCTTACCATTCATTTTAAAAAATTCAATTAATTTACTTTTAAATGTATTAAGTCCATTCGAAAAGGGGACGGGGATGATGGTCTCCCTCTCCCTTACCTCATCATAAATATTGTACAAAGCCACCCCCAAAAACTCATTCATACTATCATTCAACCCTCCATTAGTACCCACATTATCATCATTAAATTTCATAAACCAATCATGCATCCTATACTCCTTAATTACATCACCAAGTATCCTCCTCATTTCCCTATACCCGTATCCCCTATTCTTCAAAACTATCATCAACATCCGTGCCATATACCAAAAAGAACCAAAGTCACTACATAACCTAAAATACCTAATTAATTGTGATCTAACTATTCCTCTCATCACATGCCTGGGATGGCATGAATCATGGTGTAACAACGCTAAATTATCAGTATCCTTTAAATAAACACAGGTATGTAATCTTAACTTATTCTTAAATAAAAATTTATAAATGGAAATATCTAAATAATTAATAATTCTATCATTCATACAACATTCAACCACTATATTATCCAACAAGTCATTTATTCCCTTACAAAAACCCCCATAGTCAAAGCATTCATTCACAACCAAGAAAATATCATCCAAGTATCGATGGTAGTGCAAGGGCTTAAAACGGTTAGTGATGATTTCATCGAAATTTCTTAAATACAGGTTGGCTATGGTCGGAGCATAGGCTCTTCCCATAGCCACCCCCATAATTTGTAAATAATATGTGTTCATAAATATAAAATCACTATTGTAAAGAGTGAAATTCAATAGATCAAGAATTAAGTTGTCCGGTCGGTGGGGTGCCTTCGTCTTCTTAAGTTGTCTCCTGACAACTGCCATCGCACGTTTGAGGTCGATATTAGTGTAGAGCGAGGCAATGTCCCCCGTGATGAAGATGTCTTCATGCTCGATCGGCCGATAACGGAGTTTGTCGACAAGCTGCTGTGAGTTGAGCAGGACATGGGGAAGATCATGACAACACACTCGAAGGTTAGTATCTATAAATTGGGCTATTTTGCAGCTGTCCGAACCCACATCGGACACTATTGGTCTGCCAGGTGGGCAGTTAGCATTGACCCATTTACTCTTAGGTTTGTGGATTTTGGGTAGCATATAGAACCTTCTGGGTGCGCAGTCATGATCAGGCAGTAATCTCTTCAGCGTGTTGTCGGAAATCTCTCCCTCTCGGTAAGCCTTGTTTAATCTATTTGAAATATAATTAATATTATCCATTTTCAGACTACCCTCCAATCTCCTATAATATCGAACATCGCTCAATTGACGAAGGGCCTCCCGTTGATATTCCGTGCGATCCATTACGACCATGGTGCTGCCCTTGTCAGCCTTGCGAATGACGATCTCATCATCCTCTCTCAATTTCATCAGGGTGAGCATATCATCATTAGTATGATTAGTTTTTAAAAAAGTACGTTTATTGTTAAATAACTTCTCATTAGTGTAACAAAACTCCATGAAGGAATTTATGAAAGGATCATCGTGAATGAACTTGCCAGCATCCTCAGGTTTTATGTGTTTTGTTTTTATTTCTTTATTAATAACATTCCTCATAAAATTATTAAAATCAAAAAACGTGGTATGGGAGTAGGAAAAGACAAACTTCATACCCCTACCCAATAGCTCCATAGCCTCCTCACTCAGACTCCTGTTGCTGAGGTTCAGTACTTCGAAACTGCTCTTCCTATCGAGCGGCAGCCAGGGTCCGGGAGCCCTATTCTGCCACTCGAGTTGGGCCCGTGTTAGCTAATGGTGTAGGGTGGATTGCGACTCCGCATAGAGTCGCTCCATCTGAGAAAGTACCGTGTCAGATCCCCTCCCATCACCTCCGAAAAGACTGGCTGTGTATCTCTCCATTATATCCTCATGGCGATCTGATATAATTGGCGTTTTAACTTTTTCTCATAATGATGTCGCTTTTGTCGCTGATAATGTCTTGTTTATCTTGTTTCATGAGATGTTGATGATGACGTTGTTGCTGAAAATGCAATTGCCGTTTTGGTTGCTGGTTCAAATTTTGTTCTGGCCTCTCATGCAACCTTCTGTACAGCTGCAAACGATTTCTAGAATGAGATGTGTGTGAGGACGATGAGCTATGCTCTGCTTTTCTCTTTCTGTGATGATCTTGCTGTTGCTAGTGTTGAACAGGAGAAGAAAAAAAGAGAACTGGAAGGAAAGAATCGTTCATGTGTAAATTTGCTGATGGGATGGGTAACATTCTGCTCAGCATTTTGCTATTGTGATTGTTGGATGTCATTTTTATCTTCGTTTTTGCTCAAGACAACTTTATTGGACTCTTTAGTGACTGCCTCTCTTCAATTTTGTTTACATTCATCAGATTCAAATTTATTTTAAATTTTTAAAAGGTTCTTTTTCTTGGAATTGCTCTAGTTTGGTTTATTTAACGTTGATAATAAATCTGCTTTTACAGAGTCGTAATCTGTTCCTCTTTGCACTTTTAATGACATATTTGAGACTATCACTATATCCAACGGCAGAGAAATTATTACTATTACTGTGTAATGTAATAATAGCAATACGTGATAGAATCTTGTTGTTTTTTAAACATCACATTTCACAATTGAAATTGCATTTCGGAATTCTCGAACCAATCTGTTGACGCTGTTTTCTTGAAAAGAAGTAATATGGCGATCAGGTCATCATTTGGTTGGAATATTTTGTTTACGTTTTTATCAAACCACGTAGATCTTCCTATTTCTTTTTAAGGCGGATTTTCTTCGTTTGAATCACGTCAAATTTTCATTGTTCAAATCACGTCGGGGTTAACCAATTTGTTGAAGAAATGTTCGATTTAATACTAATTCGCTTTTGTTGTCGGATTTTAAATCGGACAAATTAAAACGAACTATGTTATTTCATTAACCAAACAATCGTAACAATCGCGTACTAACGTAAAAGAGGAAGACGAAAGGTAAAGCAAAGAAATAGTAGTAATAATAAATTAAAACATAGATATTAATATTAATAATAAAACTAATTAAAATTGTTAAATGTTTAAAATAACTGTATATATCTAATCTCCTAAAATTTTATTCAACGATTTCGCCACAATATATTTATCCTATTTTATAAATTAAAATCAAATAGAAAATTTTTAAATTTTTAAAAAAAGTATCTTTATTCATTTTATTGTTTTTCAATAAGATACTGTTTGTAACCAGGTTGTTAAAATTTTAATTTTTTTAAATTGTTATTCAATGTGGTAATTCATTACTTTTATTTCGTACAAATTAAAAAAAAATAAAATCGAAATTACCGAAAATAATTAAAAGTTGAAAAAGTTGAGATTTTGTGCATAACCATAAAAAAGTGTTGTATATTAGTAAATAGGCCTCCCCTTGTATTTATCTATTTCTTTATTTAGTTTTACCAGCGTATGATGTTTGGTCAAATTTATTTAATAGAAATTGAATAAAACCTTAATACCGGCTGATTAACTCATAAATATTAATTTTTGAAAAAAGTATTTTTATTCATTTTATTTTTATTTTCAATAAGATAGTTTGTAACCAAGTAGTTCGCTTTTTTGTAAATTCTTTGTTCTATGGTCTATGGTTGTAAAAACGGAGGTTGTGAAAACGAACGACGTTGGCTTCTATATAATGCCCGACGTGTATTATCGCCGCGTTGGATTGTCGTAAAATAGCCGCTCGTTCGCCTATTTAATTCTCTTGAGTTAATTTCGTGCTTTAGAGACGTTTAAATTTTTATTCTTTCAACTCGCCAATTGCTAAATTAATTAATCAATCGGCCAAGGATTTCATTTCGAGAAATTCAATACACATCAGATCAGTGTAAGATGTCGATGCCGTTTTTGTTTCCTCCACACGGTGGACCGATGGGCGGACCTCCGCCGAACATCATCATGCCTCCACTTCCTCCGGGGATGCCGCACCCTCCCCCAGTTGCCGACTACATGTCCGAAGAAAAATTGCAAGAGAAAGGTCAATTTGATTTCTCTCTTATTTTTATTTATTTTCATTTTATTAATTATTTATTGAGTATACTAAAATAAAAATTATTAATGTATATTTAATTTTTTTTAAGCATTCCTAAATTAATTAATAATTACTGTTGGATTAGTTTAGTTTTAAACATTATTTATATTTGCTGTCAAATAAATATTGAAAATTTTTACACTTTACAGCTCGTAAGTGGCAACAACTGCAGACAAAAAAGTATGCAGAGAAGAGGAAGTTTGGATTTGTTGACACCCAAAAAGAAGACATGCCACCTGAGCATGTTAGGAAGATTGTCAGAGATCATGGAGACATGACTAGTAGGAAGTTTAGACATGATAAAAGAGTTTATTTAGGGTTGGTTTTATATTCCATTTATTAATTTGTTTTGTAAACAAGAACTTTGTTCCCATTTTAAAATTATAAATCATATTTATGCCAGTTTAAAATTAAGTTTAATTGTTAAATTAGGATTAGGGTTGATGTTAATTAACTGATTACATTTTATATTTTTTAATTGCATGACAGTGCCCTGAAATACATGCCACATGCTGTTTTGAAGTTGATGGAGAACATGCCAATGCCATGGGAGCAGATCAGAGATGTGAAAGTTTTGTACCATATCACAGGAGCCATCACGTTCGTCAATGAGATTCCATGGGTCATCGAACCCGTGTACATTGGACAGTGGGGGTGAGCAGCATGTTATTCTATTTTATCTCTTCATTTCTGTTCTTTCTCTGACTGTTGATTAAAATTAAAAAAACTAAATCACCCACCAGCACGATGTGGATCATGATGAGGAGAGAGAAACGTGACAGACGTCATTTCAAGAGGATGAGGTTTCCACCGTTCGATGACGAGGAACCCCCGCTTGACTACACAGACAACATCCTCGATGTTGAACCACTAGAAGCAATCCAGATGGATTTTGATCCTGAGGAAGATAAGGCTGTTTGTCAGTGGATCTATGAACACAAACCACTGGTTGACTCCAAGTCAGTTTTTCAATGTTTATTTGTTGTTTGGATTCTTTTATAACATAACATATATAAGTAATTTGCATATTGTGCTGTATCATTTGTTTAAATGACTTTAATTATTTTGTCCAATTTAAATACCGACAGATTTGTGAATGGCTCGACATATCGCAAATGGAATTTGAGTCTTCCTCAGATGTCCACCTTGTACAGACTGGCCAACCAGCTGCTGACCGACCTTGTAGATGAAAATTATTTCTATCTGTTCGACATGAAGTCATTCTTCACTGCGAAGGCTCTCAACCTTGCTATTCCTGGAGGGCCCAAGTTTGAGCCGCTTGTTAAAGATAAGGAGATGCAGTGAGTTGATGTTGCGTTGTATGAGTTCATGATTTGTTGGATATCGTTTATATTATTATATGAAATATATTATTTTCCAACAAAATGGTATCAGGGATGAGGATTGGAATGAGTTCAACGACATAAACAAGATAATCATCAGACAGCCTGTGAGGACAGAGTACAGAATTGCATTCCCATACTTGTACAACAGCATGCCGTACCAGGTCCATCTATCATGGTCAGTTTTTTCCTGGCTGGATAATGTGTTGTTGGTTCTGATTGATAAACATGCAGACGCAATTCAGCATTATGCATTGTCATGTCGCGTACACTTTTATTTGCTTTCATGTCTCATTGACAGCCTTTAAATAAATTCAAATAGGTACCATGCACCAAATGTGGTCTTTATAAAGACAGAGGATCCTGATCTGCCAGCCTTCTACTTTGATCCTCTCATCAATCCAATCTCTCAGAGGCATTCAACTAAGGTGGCTACATATTCTATTCAGTACATGCAGTATTAGTTTTTATCATCACGTTATCTCAATCTTCATTATCTTCATCATTCTCATTTGCATCAATCTGGTCACTTTTTTCTTCATCACCATCTTCATTTTATTAAAATACTCATCACATCGCCAAGCAGCATTGAGCTAACAGTTTGAAAATCTGTTATTTACTTAATCACAACAGAAAGCAGAACCCCTTCCAGAAGATGACGATGAATTTGAGCTCCCTGTGTACATCCAACCCTTCCTAACTGAGCTGCCCCTCTACACAGACAACACAGCCAATGGGATTGCTCTGTTGTGGGCCCCACGACCTTTCAACATGAGGTCAGGTAGATGCAGGAGAGCTATTGATGTTCCACTTGTCAAGACTTGGTTTGTTCCTCTTCTTGTCTTTCATCTTCTTGTTTATTATAATTGTTTGATTATACTTCTCTATGTTCCAGTTCCATTATATAAGATAACAAAACAGCACTAACTTAAAGGATCAATACATATTCACAATCCCATCTTCTCCAGGTATCGAGAGCACTGCCCGGCTGGCATGCCTGTGAAAGTTCGAGTATCTTACCAGAAACTTTTGAAATGTTTTGTACTTAATGCTCTTAAACGCAGACACCCGAAAGCTCAGAAAAAGAGGTATCTTTTCAGATCATTCAAGGCTACAAAATTTTTCCAGACGACAACTCTTGATTGGGTTGAGGCTGGACTGCAAGTCTGCAGGCAGGGCTACAACATGCTCAATCTGCTGATCCACCGTAAGAATTTAAATTACCTACATCTTGACTTCAACTTCAATTTGAAACCTGTGAAGACATTGACGACAAAGGAGAGAAAAAAGTCAAGGTTTGGGAATGCTTTCCATCTTTGTAGGGAGATTTTGAGGCTGGCCAAGTTGATCATCGACAGTCATGTCCAGTATCGATTAGGAAACGTTGATGCTTTTCAAGTTAGTAGTGATGTGCTGTTTGTTGTTCTGTTGGTGTTATAGGATGATAATAATATTGATGTTATAGCGATGGCATTTGTAATTTTATTGTTTCATCAGTCAAATAAATCTCTTTCCTTATTTTATATTAAATGTTTTTTTTTTATAAAAAGCTGGCAGATGGATTGCAGTACATATTCTCACATGTTGGCCAGCTAACCGGAATGTACAGATACAAGTACAAGCTGATGAGACAGATTAGAATGTGCAAGGACCTCAAACACCTCATCTACTACAGATTCAACACTGTTAGCTTGCTTATTTCTTGTCACTTCATTCATCATTGTTTCCGTTATAAAAAATATTTGTTATTATCACATGTATTGTTGTGTTGTTGTTGTTGTATTATCACATGTATTGTTATTCTGTGACAAGCTCTGTATGACCTGCTACTTTTCTGTACTGCACAGGGTCCAGTTGGCAAAGGACCGGGATGTGGATTCTGGGCACCAGGGTGGAGGGTGTGGTTGTTTTTCATGAGAGGCATCACTCCACTGCTCGAAAGATGGCTGGGTAATTTGTTGAGCAGGCAGTTTGAAGGCAGACACTCGAAAGGTGTTGCTAAGACTGTCACAAAGCAGAGAGTGGAGTCACATTATGATCTCGAACTCAGAGCAGCTGTTAGTAGAGAAGATTTTATTTGTGCTTATGAGTGTGGATTATTTATTAAAATGTTTAAATGTGATGGAGAAGGATGTAGTTGTTTGGTACAGTTCCCATATTTTTGACTATTTTCATTCTCCCTAACATCCGTGATGCCCATCGCACAGGTGATGCACGACATCCTGGACATGATGCCGGAAGGGATCAAGCAGAACAAGGCCCGTACCATCCTGCAACATCTGAGTGAGGCATGGAGGTGCTGGAAGGCCAACATTCCCTGGAAGGTGCCCGGGCTTCCCACTCCCATTGAGAGCATGATATTGAGGTGAGCTGGAGATCATGTAAAAAATGACAATGATGTGATGATGAGTGTTTATTGACGGTGATGTATTTTCCGTGAAGTGATTAGTTTTAAATTGTTCAGATTAGATCACCATTATCTTTCATTTTATCAGATATGTTAAGGCAAAAGCTGATTGGTGGACAAACACGGCCCACTACAACAGAGAACGAATTAGGAGGGGAGCCACTGTGGATAAGACAGTCTGCAAGAAGAATCTGGGCAGGCTGACTAGGTTATACCTGAAATCAGAGCAGGAAAGACAACATAACTATCTGAAGGTGAGTTGTTGGGAATGTCTTTGAATTTTAATTACCATAATCTTCAATATTTATTTTTTATTAGGACGGACCATATGTAACCTCGGAAGAAGCAGTAGCCATCTACACAACAACAGTTCACTGGCTTGAAAGCAGAAGGTTCAGCCCAATACCATTCCCACCACTGTCCTACAAACACGATACTAAACTGCTCATATTGGCACTTGAGAGGCTCAAGGAAGCATACAGGTCTGCTGTGTGTATGTGTGTATGCGTGTGTGTGTTTGTATGCGTGTGTGTTTGTGTTGAATTTGTTGTTTGTGCGTTTATGTATGTGTTTGGCTTTGGGTTTATTGATTAAATTATTTGGTTGATTGATTAATTGATTGGTTAATTGATTGATTAACAGCGTGAAAAGTCGTCTGAACCAGTCACAGAGAGAGGAGTTAGGTCTGATTGAACAAGCGTACGACAACCCACACGAGGCCCTGTCAAGAATCAAGAGGCATTTACTCACCCAGAGATCATTCAAAGAGGTTTGTGATGGATGGGAGGAAGAGTGTTGAAATTACGACAAAGTGTGTTTTTAATCTGAAAAATAAACAGAGTAGAGATATTTTCTTACTATTTACTACATTTGTATTTACGCAATTCTCCACTTCTTCATCCTCTGCCCTTGACAGGTGGGCATTGAGTTCATGGACCTGTACAGTCACTTGGTGCCAGTTTATGATGTTGAGCCGCTCGAGAAAATAACAGATGCCTACTTGGACCAGTACCTCTGGTATGAGGCCGACAAGAGGAGACTGTTTCCACACTGGATCAAACCGGCAGATGCTGAGCCACCCCCTCTGCTTACGTACAAGTGGTGCCAGGGAATCAACAACCTGCAAGATGTCTGGGACACTTCTGAAGGTCAGTGTTAAAATGAAAATATTGTTTAACGAAGTGTTCTTTCTATTGTGTGTTATTCATTTTAATCTGCTAGCGTAAAAGCATGATCACTCTGTGTTTTGAATCTTATGAATATTCAAAACGCTTTTAAACTCATGCAAGATTATAAATATCTTGGTTAGCACTCATCAGAATGTTAACTGGCAGTATTCATGTATTTATGCCTGCTTATGTCTATTCATTGATGATATGCAGGTTTCCATGGCATGAAACATGTTTTATTTGAACAGTCGCTACTAATCCTAACTTTCATGTTTTTAATTCACTAAGTAACTTTTATAACAAGTTCATAATTCATTACTTATTAAATGAATTTTGCTACACAATTATAAACAAACAGGAGAATGTAATGTAATGCTGGAGTCGAACTTCGAGAAGATATATGAAAAGATCGATCTTACATTATTGAATCGACTGCTGAGGTTGATAGTTGACCACAACATTGCAGATTACATGTCTGCTAAGCATAATGTTGCCATTTCTTACAAGGTTATTCAATTCTTTCCATAATTTTCTATTTCTTTGCCTTGGATGAGGTTATTTTTATCATCTATTTATTATGATGATTAAAGTATAAAATTATAAATCACTGCAAACAAAAATATTATCCAATTAGGACATGAACCACATAAACTCGTTTGGAATAGTGAGGGGCCTTCAATTCTGTTCCTTCATTGTTCAGTACTACGGCCTGGTTCTTGACCTACTTGTATTGGGCCTGCAGAGAGCCAGCGAAATGGTCGGACCCCCTCAAATGCCTAACGATTTCCTAAGTTTTAGGGATGTGCAAACTGAAATATCACATCCAATTAGACTCTATTCAAGATACATCAACAAGATACATATATTCTTTAGGTTGGTTGGTTGGCTGATTGGTTATTTGATGGATAATTTATATGATATTTCCTATATTGCGGTTATGACAAAATTGTTCGTTGTGAATTTGTGATGATGAAATAATAAGATGATGTTTTTTCTCCAGCATGATCACTCTGTGTTAAGAATCTATTTAATATTCATAACACTTTTAAATTCATGCAAGATTATTTATTGGTTGATTAATATTCATGATGGTGTTAATTAGCCTGCATGTGTTTATGCTTGCATATGCTATTTCATCAATGATATGCAGGTTTCCATGACATGAGACACTTTTTTTTCATAAAAATTCAATATAATTTTTTAGCTTATATTGTTAATTGTTTGAATGCCGGCCCAACTAAATTGTTGTTTGTTATTTTTAAAGATTCACGGCAGAGGAGGCACGTGATCTGATCCAAAGATACTTAACAGAGCATCCTGATCCCAACAATGAGAACATTGTCGGCTACAACAACAAGAAGTGCTGGCCTAGGGACTCCAGAATGAGACTCATGAAGCATGACGTCAATTTGTTAGTAGGGATGTGCTGATTTGTATGTGTTGTTGGTTTTGTTTGCTTCTGTTGTTGGTTTTGTTTTGCTTTCTATTGTTACACAGATTTATAACCATTCAATCAAGTAAGCTACTAATTACTAATTGACAATTAAAAAATCAATGAAAACCCAAAACAGAGGACGTGCAGTGTTCTGGGACATAAAGAACCGCCTGCCACGCTCTGTAACAACGACGCAATGGGAGAACAGTTTTGTTTCAGTGTACAGCAAGGACAATCCCAACCTGCTGTTCAACATGTGTGGCTTTGAATGCAGGATCCTGCCAAAGTGTAGGACGTCACATGATGAGTTCACACACAGGGATGGTGTCTGGAATCTTCAAAATGAGGTCAGTAGTCAGTCAGTCAGTCAGAATGATGGGATGGGGGTGATGTATTGATGTTGTGATGATTATGGTATGACCAATGTCTCAGTTGAAATTAAGTAATCCATGCATAAATTTCTGTACAGATAACTAAGGAGAGGACAGCTCAGTGTTTCTTGAGAGTAGATGATGAATCATTGCAGAGGTTTCATAATCGCGTCAGGCAGATCCTCATGGCTTCTGGCTCAACCACTTTCACCAAGGTTGCTTAAGTTTGCATTTATTACGCTAATTTTGTTATTGTTGATGATTGATTGCAAGGTGTTTTCAATCTTTTTACCTTTTTATTGACTGTGAAACAAATATTGACATCTGCACACCAACTGTTTAGATAGTGAACAAATGGAACACGGCATTAATTGGGCTGATGACCTACTTCCGAGAGGCAGTGGTCAGCACCCAGGAGCTCCTTGACCTGCTCGTCAAATGCGAGAACAAGATACAAACTCGTATCAAGATTGGCCTCAATTCAAAAATGCCAAGCAGGTTTCCACCGGTAGTCTTCTACACTCCAAAAGAATTAGGAGGATTGGGAATGTTGTCGATGGGACATGTGCTTATACCACAGTCTGATCTCAGGTCTGTCTTTGTCTGAGTAATATTTGTGGTTAATAGAGCAAATGTTTTTGAATGTTAGAATGTTAAGGTGCGAAACAAATTTATTAAATTCACAATAATAATTGTCTCATCTTTCAGGTGGTCAAAACAGACAGACGTAGGCATCACTCACTTCCGATCAGGGATGTCACATGATGAAGATCAGCTCATCCCTAATTTATACAGGTTTACTAATTTCACTTATTAGTTTTATTCTCGTCATTTATTCAGTCATCACGATCCCTCTAGGAAACCTGCATCATCATCATCATCTTTCACTTACAACCTCTGTGTAGGTACATCATGCCGTGGGAGAGTGAGTTTGTAGATTCACAGCGTGTCTGGGCGGAGTATGCACTGAAGAGGCAGGAGGCCAACGCCCAGAACAGGAGGTTGACACTGGAGGACCTGGAGGACAGCTGGGACAGGGGCATTCCAAGGATTAACACACTCTTTCAAAAGGTAGGTCTCGCCTCTGGCTGTTGGTGGACTAAAAAAATAAAGAGAGATTGCTGCTGGCTTTGTCAGTAAAAGCTCAGTTGATCATATTTATGTTTATCGAGTTTTAATTATTTATTATTGTAGTATCAAAACTTAATAAAAAGTTGTCTGCAATGATAAATAATTACTTTTCCTCTCCTCCTCATCATCTCATTCTCTTCATTGAATCAAGGACCGACACACACTGGCTTACGACAAAGGATGGAGAGTTAGGACGGATTTCAAGCAGTACCAGGTTCTGAAGCAGAATCCATTCTGGTGGACCCACCAACGACACGATGGTAAACTGTGGAACCTGAACAACTACAGAACCGACATGATCCAGGCATTAGGAGGCGTCGAGGGCATCCTGGAACATACCCTCTTCAAGGGAACGTACTTCCCGACTTGGGAAGGTCTATTCTGGTCGGTTGCTGCTTGCGTTACTTGCTGCTATTGTATTTTCATTGATTTGACGTTACTTCATTTTTGTTGTCGTCTTGTTATTATGATTGATGAACATTGGAGAGGCCAGTGATGATAAGTAAAAGGTTTGACAAGCGTTCAGCAGCAGCATTAATTTCAATGCTCACACTACCTGATTGTTAGTTGGGATAGGTAGAAAGCTAACAGAGAACAGTGTGTGTACATTAAGTGGAGATGATTCGTGTGTGTGATGCAGAGGTGCCATCATGCACCGCCCATGTACATCTCTACAATTTATTTTATTATTATCATTTTTATTAGTTTTTTTTATTTGAAGTTGAGTTAATGCTGTATGTTGAATGCTGAACAGTGATTTTAATAGTACAGATATCTGAGGTCTGTTTATCCAATGTATGCAACACTTTGTATTTGTTTATTTATTTATTTAGCTGGTTTTAAAGGGAATGGCACAAAACCGACATTAGGTTTGCTGCATCAGCCTAATGTTTGTTTATTTTTAACTGCCATCTTGTACATTAATGACAATTAAAAACACACACACACACTCATCACTCACACACATCTATGAATACCAACACACAGGGAGAAGGCCAGTGGATTTGAGGAATCTATGAAGTTCAAGAAGCTGACAAATGCACAGAGGTCCGGTTTGAATCAAATCCCAAACAGGAGATTCACATTGTGGTGGTCGCCGACCATAAACAGAGCGAATGTGTACGTCGGCTTCCAGGTGCAGCTCGATCTTACTGGAATCTTCATGCACGGGAAGATACCGACTCTGAAGATATCTCTCATACAGATATTCAGGGCTCACTTGTGGCAGAAGGTTCACGAGAGTATTGTCATGGATCTGTGCCAGGTTCGTTCGTTTCTATGCCTCTCACATCGGCTCGCTTGCTTTCAGTATTTTTTTAATAAACTATCGAATACTCTCAAACTCAAAAAGATACACATGTCACATTTTATGGAACAAATGACCAACAGGTGTTCGACCAGGAGCTGGATGCTCTGGGTATCGAAACGGTACAAAAGGAAACCATCCATCCGAGGAAGTCTTACAAAATGAACAGTTCATGTGCAGACATCCTTCTGTTCGCTGCCTACAAGTGGGGAGTCTCCAGGCCATCTCTACTGGCCGACTCAAAGTTTGTACCATTAGTGATTTGGAATTAGTGATGTGTTATAGATTTTGATTGTAGTGGTAATAATAATAAGTTGAACGATGTCTGTATGATACAATCTATGACAATAATGTTAGTTGTACATGATGATTAATTACATCATTAGTTAAGGAGGACTACAAACTATACGCCACTTTTATTAATACCAAACTATTGATAAGCCCACCAATTGATCGACGATCACTTGCTTATTAACGAATGAATTGAAATTTAACAACTTTCAAACAAATTAGAGACACGATGGACAACTCGACAACTCAGAAGTATTGGTTGGACATCCAGTTGAGGTGGGGAGATTATGACTCGCACGACATCGAGCGTTACACGAGAGCAAAGTTCCTCGACTACACAACTGACAACATGAGCATATATCCATCTCCAACCGGGGTCCTCATAGGACTTGATCTTGCTTATAATCTTCACAGGTTGGTTGATTGGCTAGCTGGCTGGCTGGATGTTTGTTGCAGTGGATTTGTTTTATAAATATATCACTTAGTGTTTTTAAATCAACCATTTAAACATTGAACCAACCAACAGTGCATTCGGCAATTGGTTCCCAGGCTGCAAACCTCTGATCCAACAATGCATGGCAAAGATAATGAAGGCCAATCCAGCTCTGTATGTGTTGAGAGAACGAGTTAGGAAAGCCTTGCAACTTTACAGCTCAGAACCAACTGAACCGTATCTATCGTCACAGAATTATGGAGAGCTCTTCTCAAATCAAATCATCTGGTTCGTCGATGACACCAACGTGTACAGAGTAACCATTCATAAGGTTTGTTGACTGGCTGGTTGATCATTTGTGTCCTGGTGTTGATTGATTATATGACATGACTAAGTGAAAGTGAAGTTATCACATTAAAATTTCAAATATTTTAGCATTGTTATACAACATTCTTCATTTTGATTCGTGTCACTTTTGTTAAAAAAAAATTTCGGAGTCAATAAATAAAATGAACTATTGCAAACCTTCCAGACATTTGAAGGCAACTTGACAACAAAGCCTATAAACGGAGCCATCTTCATCTTCAATCCTCGAACTGGACAACTCTTCCTCAAAATCATCCACACGTCAGTTTGGGCCGGTCAGAAACGTCTTGGGCAGGTAAGATTGATGTTGTTTGTCGGTTGTTGGTGGTGGCTGTTGTTGGTAGTTGTTGTTGTTGATGATTGTTTGTTGTTGGTGATGATGGTATGATAAATTTGTTAATGATAATCTGACAAAACATTGAGTGACAAGGATGTCATTTAACTTTCTTTACTTTACTTTACTTTTTTACTTTAATCACTTCACTAACTCAACCCATATTTTAAAAATTGAACAGCTTGCCAAGTGGAAAACAGCAGAGGAGGTAGCAGCATTGATCCGATCGCTGCCTGTAGAGGAGCAGCCTAAGCAGATCATTGTGACCAGGAAGGGAATGTTGGACCCACTCGAAGTCCATCTCCTTGATTTCCCCAACATCGTCATCAAGGGCAGCGAACTTCAACTGCCCTTCCAAGCCTGCCTCAAAGTTGAAAAATTTGGGGATCTGATTTTGAAAGCCAATGAACCTCAGATGTACCTCTTCAATCTTTACGATGATTGGCTCAAAACTATTTCTTCTTATACCGCTTTCTCACGGTTTGTTTGTTTGTTTGTGTCTCTCTGTCTTTATGTTTGCTTGCATATTTTCACAATGGCGTCACACTTCAAAATAATTTTAATTTAAGAAACTGCAGATTGATTTGAATGTAACAAACCAAACCTCAGATTGATCTTAATATTGCGGGCCATGCACGTCAACAACGATCGAACGAAGATGACTCTGAAGCCTGATAGGACGACCATAACGGAGACACATCACATCTGGCCCACCTTGAATGATGAGGATTGGATGAAAGTTGAAGTGCAACTGAAAGATCTCATCTTGGCTGACTATGGGAAAAAAAATAAGTCTGTTGTTCTTTTTCCGGCTTTAATATCTGCTACTAATGTTTATTTTCACCTGGTCGCTTGATTAACATTCAACTACTTGCATGTCTTTGTTTGTTTAAGAATAATACTGTGTATATGAGGGTGTATGCATTACCATTTCCCCCACTGATATTGATCAACATTTTTATAAATTTGCCTCAGTGTGAACATCGCCTCTCTGACTCAGTCCGAGATAAGAGACATCATTTTGGGCATGGAAATATCTGCTCCCTCCCAACAGAGACAGCAGATTGCAGAAATCGAGAAGCAGACCAAAGAACAATCACAACTGACTGCCACAACTACCAGGACTGTGAACAAGCATGGAGATGAAATCATTACATCAACCACTAGTAATTATGAGACACAGGTTTGTTCATCCTTCTGTCTGTCTGTCTCAGTCTGTTTGTTTGAACTGTTTGGTTGTTTGTTCTGTCTGATCTGATTTATTTGGGTGTTTATCTTGTTGTCTAGCTTGTTGTTTTGTTTATATTTCTTTTTCCTCTTTGTTTTGCTTCATTTTTAAACCACAACACAACATACATACATGCAAGTACAATGAAACTCTACCTTCCTAACATACACACACATATGTTTGCAGACATTTGCTTCAAAAACTGAATGGCGCGTGCGAGCAATTTCAGCTACGAACCTGCACTTGCGTACGAACCACATCTACGTTTCATCGGACGACATCAAGGAAACCGGCTTCACGTACATCCTGCCTAAAAATCTTCTCAAAAAGTTTATCATCATCTCTGATTTGAGAGCTCAAATTGCTGGCTATCTCTACGGAGTCAGTCCTCATGACAATCCCCAAGTTAAGGAAATTAGGTTGGTTGATCTCGTGTGTGTGTGCGCGCGTGAAATGCGTAACAGTGATGAAAAATCTAATGTGACCGTCATTCTTTACAGGTGCATAGTGATGCCACCACAGTGGGGCACCCATCAGACAGTCCATCTGCCCAACATTCTTCCCACCCACGACCACCTGAAACAAATGGAGCCACTTGGGTGGATTCACACCCAGCCCAACGAACTCCCTCAACTTTCACCGCAGGACATCAGCACTCACGCCCGCATCATGTCCGACAACCCGAGTTGGGATGGTGAGAAGACTGTAGTCATCACGTGCAGGTGGGTCTCTTTAGTTACTTTTTCACCAACAATGATGTTACTTGATAAATATTTTGAATTGTATTCTTGCATGCAAACGATGCTAATGGTATTTCGTTGTCTCGAAACAGTTTCACGCCAGGCTCATGTTCACTGACAGCCTACAAACTGACTCCCAGTGGCTACGAATGGGGCAGGCAGAACAAAGATACCGGTAATAATCCTAAAGGTTATTTGCCGTCCCACTACGAAAAGGTTCGTATTGTTGCTTCATAGGCATTATTGAAATAACAACAGTGCAACTAAAGCTCTAACATAAACTTTACATCTACATTGCAGGTTCAAATGTTGTTGTCGGATCGTTTCCTCGGTTTCTTCATGTCCCCCGTCCAATCGTCCTGGAATTTCAACTTCATGGGTCAGTTGCCGTCCTGATTATTATGATGATAATTTATAAATTCCATTACTTCATGACGAATGACTTAATCATAACAAAATATATAAATCGCTTTCTGCATCGTTTAATTTCAACCAATCACATCACAGGGGTGCACCACGACCCGAACATGAAGTATGAAATTCAGTTGGCCAATCCGAAAGAGTTCTACCACGAGATACACAGGCCATCCCACTTCTTGAACTTCAGAAGTTTAGAGGATGGAGACATAGTGGGGGCCGACAGGGAGGACCTCTTCAAATAAGGGGGAAGAATTTTATGTTTGGGCCTCTAAGAAGATGGATTTTGTGATGGTGACTTCGAAATGACAATAAACATGATGCAGATGGTGTTTTGAAATTTTAATGAAATTAAGCGGATATTTATAGCATTCAATTGATAAATTGGATGTTAAATTCAACAATTGATCAGATTCTCACACATAATTCGTTTTTTAACTTCCTTCATTTTATCTTCGAAGGTTAAACTTCAGTTTGACAGTTCGTAACTATTGATAATGTAGCAAAGAGTGGCGAGTTACTATTGTTAATAATTTTTTATTTTTTCTCGTTTTTAATAAAGACGAATGTTTTATGTGCTGTTCTTAATTTACAGACTCGAGGTGTTCGCTTGTGTTTCTATTTATGCTCGCAAGTTTGAGACCTACTATCATCGTTCAGCCGTCTTGTGTTTTTTCTAATCTGACCGTACAGTCAAAGTTGCACAACTCATTTGTACACAGGTGGTGTGTGCCGTGCAAGACTGCTTAACATAAACAAGAGACGAGACTCATAAATTGGAAAAGGCGCTATATAAATATATAAAACGTACCGACATTCAACTGTTTGTACATCCATGCATACGCGTATGTTTGTGGGCGTGTGATCACGTGCACAAGTGAGCAAGGTCACGGTCGTTGCTGCTTAGTAACAAGCTGACCAATCGTGGAGCTCTTAATGACCTTAAATATGCATGGATTTTGTATGTGTGTCTCTGTTTGTATGTGTCTCTGTTTTGTATGTATGTATGTTTGTATATATGGATGTGTAGGAAGGTGCGTGTGCGATGAGTCGAAGGTAGGCGAGAATATAAACATGTGAATGTGCATGAAGTTGTTGGTGAAGAAGCAGATGACTTGGAAGAGATGCAGAAATAAATATTTCCATCGCCACGACCAAAACACGCGACAGCCCAGCGCAACGTTCCAACGCGAAACAACGTCTCGTCAGCAGCAGCAGCAACACGAGAACACTAACAGCATTAACAACAACAACAGCATTAGAACCGCTACAACAAAATTAATAAGTACAACAACATCATTTATACTGAGCTTCAACGAATCATACTCTCCGACTAAAACACCGTCAACAATAGAAAGAGCGTTGATAGCTGCCTCCTTCCAATGTATGTTCATTTTTTTCTTCCCTCTCCTCGCTTCATTCACGCACTGTCTGTGTATTAAAGGCGTACATGGAACGTACATACATGTATACAAAACATGTATAATACCTACCCATACATGCATGTATACAAAACATGTACCCATATATACGTGCAGCCATACATGCGTTAGGCACACAGCATCGTGTCTTGCCACGCCATCTCGTTAACAGAAATATTTCGGCAGGCAATGGACAACAACATCAACAACAATAAGAAAATAAAAACAACAACATAGATGACAGTAAAACAACGCAAAAAACAACTAAACAGAGAGATTATATATAAACAACCTCATTAACTGACGGCATCTGCAACAGGAAGAAAACGACGTCATCAACAACAACATCATCAACAACAACATCATCAACAACATCAACAACAACAACGTCTTGTGATGCAATTAAATTTCAATTCATTATGATTGTACTCTCTCTTTCTCTCTCTCTCTCTCTCTCCATCTCTCTCCTCTCTCACTCTCTCGCATACACTTTTCCCTTAACATTTCCATTTCCTCGTTAGTCCTGTGGGCTTCGATTCTGGATGATAACAATTCAGCTCTGGATAACAATAATATTAATAACGACACACATATCAATGCGTTCTTTCCATTTTAAAATATAAAAATTGGTAAAAGAAAGGATAATAACATAAAATAATAATAAATAAATGATGATAATAAAAGTTTTTTTTACGAGATATAATGGTATTATCGTTATTGTAAAATAGTGATGATGATAATATTAATTTACTATCTGATGATGCTGTCTAGAGAAGCGTAATGTTGCTTGCTACAGACCATACAGTAGGGTTAATGTCTGTGTGCACTTTGTATGAATGTGTGTGTGTATTTGTGTTTGTATGCTTGCTCATTGTTGTGTGTGTGCGACTGTGTGTGTTATCAATTATGTACACATTTGAATCGATAAACATAATCGCCATCATCATCTTCGCCATCTTCACCTTCATCTTCGTCATCACGATTGTTCGCCTGTATGAGGCAACCTTATTTTGTACACGAGATGCGTTCACAAATGAGAATGTATTTGTGGGTGGTCCTTTTATGTATGTATTTGTACGTTGTGTGTGTATGTATGTATGTGTGTGTGCATGTACGTATGTATGTATGTACGTATGTGTGTGCGTGCGTGCGTGCGTGCGTGTATGTTTTCATTTGCACCTATATGAATGTTAATTAGATGCACTCACTGTCAAAAGCGAAAGTATTAAAATGTTACTTTTTCATAACCATGGCAGCAGCAGCAACAACAACAACAACGTAACCATTCATCACCATAGCAACAGGTTGAAGTGGTTTCTATAGCAACTGAAGCGAGATGTGCTGCATGCGTGAACGAAACTGGGTGTTGATATTGACAACAGTCTGTTCGTGCACGTCGTTCGCCTGCCTGTGTGTGGCTGTCGTGGCAGACCACTGGCTCTACACGACGGAACACACCAACGTCACGCACTACAGGAACACGACAGCTGGTCTTTGGAGGAAGTGCATACATGATTGTACGTTGGCTGGTTGGTTGGCTGGTTGGTTGGTTGGTTGATTGGCTGGTTGGTTGGCTAGTTGGTTGGCTGGTTGGTTGGCTGGTTGGTTGGCTGGTTGGTTGGCTGGCTGGCTGGCTGGTTGGTTGGTTGGCTGGTTGGTTGGTTGGCTAGTTGGTTAGTTGGTTGAATGGCTAATTGAAATGAATAAAATTCATGGAAGAAATCAAAATTTTCCTGCATAACAGCTTCGAAAATACCGGCGTTATCGGTGTGCGAGAGAATCGACTATTTCAAACACATTGATAGGGATGGGCTGGCTCCATCTGAATCGATTCTTTGTTAGTATGCATGAATGAATGAATGAATGAATGAATGAATGAATGATTGAATGAATGAATGAACGAACGAACGAACGAATGAATGGATTGATGAATAAACGGATAAATGAACATATGGATGTTCGTTCATACGAATAGATAATGACTTGAAAAAAGCTTACCAATGAATAAAACATTAACGAAAACCACCACCACCAACAAACAAGCAAGCGAGCAAATATTAACTTTGAACTTTGACCCGATGAATGTTTGTTTAGTGTCCTTACGGAAGTTTATGCTGTTTCCTGTGGTGGGTTTGTTGGTGCTGCTGGCTGGCGAATGTTGCTGCGTCATGTCTCAGTGCGATGCGCAGAAGAGCACCCTCACTCTGGTCTCCGGCATCCTCTATGTAGTTGGAGGTCTGCCCCAGCCAGGCGTTCATTCTTCTTCATTTCTCACTGAATTTTATTTTTTATGCGTTTATTGGTTTCTAACTTTGTTTTCATTTATTTGCTTATTCATTCACTCGTTCGTTTAGTTATCTATTCATTTATTTCATAATTCATTCTTTCATCTTTCTGTTCATCTCTCGATTCACACAGGTTTGTTCGTGTTGATTGGAATTGTGATTTTCATCGGGGCGGTGACGGAAGAGGCGGGCAACAGCAACAAGCCACGTGTCACATCTGAGGACCAATCACGTCTCTTGTACCATTACGGCCCCTCCTTCATCCTCACCATCCTCTCATTCATCACCTCCGAATTCACTGGCGTCCTCTCCGTCTACCTCTACATCTCCCTCTACCAGGTCGCCTACAGGAAAGATAGAGACCACCTCGGAAATCCCGTCGACGTCAACAGCGAGGCCCTCCAAGCCACGCCAACAACTGTCGCCTCAACCAATAGCAACAGAGTTTCGGGACGTTCCCATGGAAACAGAAATCTGTCACTCAGCAATCAGCTTTTGAGATCAACAGCGCATGGCGGCCAACGGCAGCAGCAACAACATCAGCAGCAGCAGTTGATGAATCGAACTTCAACGAAATCTTCCAGCACGAACAGACGGCCCTCCATTAAACGGATGTCATCGGAGTTGGCGTTGCTAGGTGACGCGTTGCTTAGCAACCTGCCCAACAACCGCCATTTTAGTTACAGCGCTGATATGCCTTACAAAAAACAACGCAACGACGGTGAAGATGACGATGAGGATGGCGGTTACGAGGAAGATGATGTTTTGAGTAACGTGGCTGGGAACATCAACATCAGGAGTAACATGGGCGGAAATTTCATTGGGACCGATGGTACAAAACTGAGCGGTGATGCAGAGGGCGATGATGAAGACGTCCTAGCCATCAAGAGGAGCGTCGGTGCCAACACTGAAGGAGGAAGTGGCGTGAATGTTTGTGGCGGAGGAAGTCTGCAGGATGACGATGGAGTCAGTGAGGTGAAGATTGTTCACCTCACTTCTTCACCTGGCGCTGGTTCACAACTCAACAACGAGTACCAACGACAACAACAGCAACGACAACAACAGCAACGACAACAACAGCAGCATTTGATGCAACAATTACTGCAACATCAAATTGCACAGCAACGAATTCCTCATCAACAAGTTTCACAACAGCAGTATTCACAAACTCAACAAATTCCTCCACAGTTACAAACACCGCATCAACAGCAACTTCCACAGCAGCTACAACAAACACTACAACTACATCATCAACAACAACAACATGGACTACAACCACAGCAGCAGCAGCAGCAGCATGAGCAACAAAATTTACCGCCAGCAAAAACTAACAAAAAACATTTTGGTAAATTGTCGAACAAAGGTGAACAACACAAAAAAATTTCAACAGCTCAGCCAAAGTTGCAAGAACAACAACATCAACAACTATTAATTCAACAACTACATCAACAACAACAACCAATAATTCAACAAAAACCAGCTCAACAGCAACAAATTCAACAAGACAAACAGCTTTTGCAATCGCAGTTTCTCCAGCAACAACAATCTCAACAAATTCAGCTATTATCTCCACAACAGCATCAACAATTTATTTTACAGCAACAACAACTACAACAACCACCACAACTACCACAGCAATTACAATCTCAACCACAACAACAACAACAACAACAACAACAACCACAACAACCACAGCAACGGATACCAAAGCACATGCAGACAGACACTATCAGTCCGCTTTCAAATCGGAATGAAATGCAACCGCAGCAGCTACAACAACAGAAGAAGCAACTTCAACAGCGATTACTACGACATCAGCAGATGTTGCAACCGATATATTTTTCGCAACATCCCAGGATTAATACTGACCAAACAGAACATGACAAACAGCAGCAGCAACAATTACAACTGCAACATCAAATACATTCTTATTGGCAGTACGTCAGAGAAACTCAAATTCAAGAGCCACAGCAGCGAGCACCACATCAGTCAGCAACACAACCAAAACCAACGCAACAACTGGAACAACATCACACTCCACTTCAACAACAACAACAACAAATTAGATTGAGGCTTAAAAAAGCATCACAAAAAAATGTTGGCTCACATTTAGAGCAGCACCAGCAACAACAACCGCAGCAGCAGCAACAACAACCGCAGCAGCAGCAACAACAACCGCAGCAGCAGCAGCAACAACAACAACAACAACAGCAGCAGCAAAAACCACAACACAGGACAACAACATCATCTTCGCCACTCTGCAAAGATTCAGCAACTCAGTATTCGCCCAAAACAACAACAATAACAACAACAAAATTAAATAATGAGGACGACGACGATGATCTGGTAACGGGTGATGATAGTAGTAGTTGGTTGGATAACTTCACATCGCCATATTGGTCGCCTTACAATTTCAACACACGAGTCAACTCACGATTTCAGCAGCACCATCACCCCCTTCTTAATCGTTACCACCATCATCTTCATCATCGCCAGCCATATTATTACAATCCACATCCTCTCTCTCATCGTCAGCATCTTGCAGCACCATCACAACAACAACAACAACATCAACAACATCATCAGCAGATGAACGACCAACAAAACCTCTACTACAGAGCCGAACTAATTTCTCTTTACAATCCAAATACTTTCCCCCTTCAATTGTTAACTACAGCCAATCAGAAGCCAGAATCCTTCCACCCTGCCAACCAATCACAACTCACCAACTTATCTCTGACGCGCCATCCATCGTTACGGCATCATTTTTTAAACGATGTCATCTCTGAAAACCCGCTGATGACGACCATGAACAACAATTTCACGTACTCAGCTTTCCAGCTTCCGGTCGAGTCGAGGCGGGCGGCGATGGACGAATCGATGAACAACCGACTCGATGATTTTAGTTATTCAATATTCGACCGCACGAAGTCCATGCACGAGTTGCGAAGTTTCGAGTTTTACGAATGCGGGCCCCAGCTCTTGAAGTCGTTAGTCGAACCATTCTTAACCGACGACTCGGAATTTCTAGGCAGGACCACACCAGTTTGAACTTATTTGAGATTTTTCATTGCGTCGGTTGGGTAGCACTTTGAAGCATGGCCAGTTGATGCTTGGTCGATGAATAACATTTGCTGCTCTTTGGTTGAAAATGTTTCAATACGCATTTGTATGTGTGTAAATATAGTATATGTATAATTTTGTGTATGTCTTGTGTTTGTGTATGTCTGTGTTTGTGTATGTCTTGTGTTTGTGTATGTCTGTGTTTGTGTATGTCTGTGTCTGTGTATGTCTGTGTTTGTGTATGTCTGTGTCTGTGTATGTTTGTGTTTGTGTATGTCTGTGTCTGTGTATGTCTGTGTTTGTGTTTTTTGGCGCGCCCATGAACTTAAAATGAAAGGATGACCATGCGGCTGAACACGCGCATTCATTTCACCAGTTTCATGAAAGTGTTATTATTATCCTGCTGTTATTGCATAATAAATAATAATTATAATTATAGTTATTATGTTAATAGCATATAATTATTAATATAATTATACAGTCAATATTGTTACATTAAATTTTTGTGATAATGATGATCTTCTAAACATTCATTGCGACTTATTTTTTACCGTTATACGTTTGTGTTGTGTTTTTGTTGAGATCTATAAATATGATAATAATAATAATAATTATTATTATTATTATCATTGTATGATATTAATTAAAATAATAACGCTAGTATTTTTACTGATTTTCGTCAATTGTAAGATAACTTATTATTGTTAGCACTATTAAACAGTGAACGTAGATGATGAGCCAGCATGTATTTTATTTACATTTGAACATTTTATCTTAAAAAACAAGAAGCCCGTTACGGCTGGTATGGTGTCTAAAAATAATAAAAATATATATGTAAATGCCAATCAACTGATTGACTGTTTAAAGTTAAAACCAAATTACAAAAAGATAAACCACCGTGCAACCACTGAAATGACAGTGAACGAAAAATAATTATTATAAAGTAAGTTAGTTGTTCAAGATTTAGATGGACTCTAATTTAAATTAATGATCCAAAATCACCAGTCAAATGTAAAAGACTGAACGAGCTTAAACGTGACTGCTCTAAGGAATGTCCAAGATTAAAAACAGTTAAAACAAAAATATTTATCAATTAATAAGAAGCAAATTGCATTTAACGAAGTTGAAGAGATATATATAATATGCAGTGTTGGATTTCAGGAGGAAGTTTGATCCACTTTCCCCTTCTCATTATGGATGCTAACGTGTTCTTCTCATGTAGCCCTGTCCCTCATAGTGGCAAGTAAAACTCATCAACGTGTCTGACCCCGAGACAAAAGTACCACCATTCAAACAATCAAACGCCTTTTTGTCATTAAATACGGCAAGAGTATGAGCTGTGTGAGTTTCTAATTTCACATTACCGAACTGTGGTTGGTCATGTCGTGTCGGAAACATTTTTGGAACACGCATTTACAATCATTTAACGTGTGGTTTTTATTAAGAAAATATGATGAAACAAATATTCGCAATCTTTTCAATAATTTCAGATATTATATTGTATTGGGCGATACTTACTAACGGCATGCTTGTTTAAGATACGTATTATATTGGGTTTTATTCTGTTTACTGTAATATGTTTGCAGTAATGTTCGCTGTAATGTTTGTTGTAATGGTTGCTGTAATGTTAGATGTATTTTTTTTACGTTGAACTTCACGATAGCAGTTTTATTATAAGTCTTTCTCAAAAAGATTCACGAGTAAAAAATAAATAAAAAATCGGATGCAGGCTGTTTTAATGTGATCACCACCACCACCATCGTCATCATCAGCAACATCATTATAATTTAGTAATAATCAATTTCCTCCTCTTATCATTTTGAAGTTGTTTCCTTATCGTTTGAGGATAATCTGGTGATAGCAGATGAATGTACGATTGTGGTTGTCGTTCTCGCGGAGTATTTGTTTCAATTATTTTATTGTCGGGAGATGTTCTGATGACGTCCTTTATATTGTTTTTGTAACGGCTGTTGGTATCTTCAGCGTTATTCGCGTCAGTATTCTTTGATTTACTGTTTCTATGGTTGTCAATAATGTTGGTAAAGTTGTTGTTGTTGTTGTTCTTACCTCCACCAACAGCAGCGACTGCAGTGACTGCAGCAGCAGCACTACTTGATGATCTACTTTCATCGGATCCTTCAAATCCAATCTCTTTGTAAATATCGTCGAAATATTTCAAAACTTTTTCTTCTTCCTCGCCCAATCTTCTGACGTCATTCTCTTTGGTTACATCACGTGCCGAATTTTGTTCTCTCTCTTTCCTTCTTTTCTCTCTCCATTCTTCCAAACCTCTCAAATCTTCGTCGCTGTATTTGGTTCTTGACGGGTTAATAGTAAATATGTTTTGGTTGCTGCTGCTGCTGTGCTCCATCTTGTTGACGATGTTGTTGCTGGTATTGTTGTTGACAAGATTTTGCTTGTTGTAAGAAAATATTTCGAAGTTGTTTTTGTTGTTGTCAGAGTTGTAGTTGTCGAGTTTGTTGATTCGAGTTTGTGCTGGGGGTGGTTGTTCGTTGTTTATTTGGATGATTCCATTATATACAAATCTTCTTTCTGATAGACCTTTAATACCGTGAATATTCTCGCCGGTTGGCAGGATGTTGTCGGGCGATGTTGTTGTCTGCAACGCTGTTGTCGCTGGTAATGCAGTTACATTTCTTCTGTACAATCTTGAATCGTAGACGATGTTGTTGTTCCTGGCTGTCTTGTTGTCCGCGATGATGTTCTCACTGAACGTGTTCGTGTCGTTTTGAAACCAAGGTGGCGCTCTGTCGATGATTTTATTTGCATTTGTCAACGTCGTTCTATTCGAGGTTGTTGTTGTTGTTGTTGGCTGCTCAGCTTCCCAAAGGTCCTGCGTATTAGGAAGTAGTGTAGAAATATTTCCGGATGTGATTACGTCATCGTCTTGGAAATATCCATTAGGTGGTTTCGCTTTCGCTTTCATGAAGAAAACATTTGAGTTCGTTAAGCTCGGTCTTCGTTCAACATCTGGCGTCGTGAGAAACGGTGAGGCTCTCGATGCCTTTGTTGTTGAGACGCCGTAATGAAAATAATCATTCGGCTTGTCGCAGTCGTCACCATCGCCGTCACTCAATTTCATTCCTCCACTTCCGTTTTTCTTTTCTCTCTCTATCTGCCGTCTCAATATTTCGATCTTCCTATCAACAGGGTTGTCCCAGGGCATCACCTCATCGTCATCGTCATCATCTCCATCACCGTGATGTTTGATGTTGATGTAACTTTTGTTGTTGTTGATGTTGTCGTTGTTTGTTGACTGAGGAATGTAGCTGATGAATGACACTAAAGTCTTCTTGACGTTGTTGTCGTCATCGCCTTCATCATAAGCAGCAGCAGCAGCATTGTTTGTATCATAATCATCCTCATCATCAGCTGTGTTTATTTTCACATCGCCGTTCGCATTATAAACACCACCTCCAGTGTTAGTGTGGAATAAATTGTTACGGCTGTCATCGTCGTTGCTGTTCGTTCTAGCGTTGAATTCATTCCGTGTTTGTATTTCTGAAGTGAAGAATTTGTCGATATCATCATCATCATCATCTTCTTCGTCATCGGCTACGTAATCATTGAAGGGGTATACAACGTTGTTCGTTGTTGTTTGGTTGATATTCTGTTGGTCTTGGGACGTCAGTGGCGGTGCATACTCTTCAAAGGCATAACTGTCGAACTGTTGCTGTGGCTGATGTTGTGGCTGCTGTTGTGGCTGATGTTGTAGCTGCTGTTGCGGCTGTTGCTGTAGCTGATGTTGTTGCAACTGCTGTTGTGGCTGGGGTTGTGGCTGTTGTTGCGACTGATGTTGTGGCTGTTGCTGTAGCTGGTGTTGTAGCTGCTGTTGTGGCTGATGTTGTGGCTGGTGTTGTGGCTGGTGTTGTGGCTGGTGTTGTAGCTGCTGTTGTGGCTGGGGTTGTGGCTGTTGTTGCGACAGATGTTGTGGCTGTTGTTGTGACTGGTGTTGTTGTTGGTATTGTAGTTGCTGTTGTAGCTGATGTTGTGGCTGCTGTTGTGACTGGTGTTGTTGTTGGTATTGTAGTTGCTGTTGTAGCTGATGTTGTGGCTGCTGTTGTAGCTGATGTTGTGGCTGCTGTTGTAGCTGATGTTGTGGCTGCTGTTGTAGCTGATATTGAGGCACTTGCGATTGTTTAGTTGTCGGTTGGAGGAATGTATGATTTTCGCCATCAACAACTCTCTTGTTCTCCTCGCTACCAACCTCACCGAGCACTGATCTACTACTCTTTTTAATATCAACAAAAGTTGTATGGTTCACATTATCGTTATTATTACTATTAATTTCTTTACTATATTTGTTGTTGATGCTGTTGTTATTTTTAAAAAACATTTTGGTCAGAGTGAGGCCATTCACTTGCTTCTCATTCCACGCATTCATCAAACTCAACTGTTTCTTTCGGTAGGACCGATATCGAAAGAAGACCGAGGTGGCGAGCAACAGTAAAACGGGCAGGCAGGCTCCCAAAGTTAAGAAAACAATTGAAATTATTTGGGACCGAGTTTGTAAGGAACGATCTATTTCCAGTTCTGGAGTGTTTAAGCTGGGATTGTTGGGATTGGGAGAGTTGTTCATATTGTTGGTGACGTTGTTTCTAGTGTTGTTGCTGTTGTTATTGATTCTGTCCTCTTTCTCTCTTATGTTTCTTCAATTAATCTACATGTCGAAACATTTAAATTCATTCAGTTCTCATAAGCCGTGCATTGATTGTCTCCATTCATTTCTAGCTGGATGGTCATAAAACATTTTAATCCGAATGATATTTTAAATTAATTCAGTTTATTATAATTTATTACGTGAATAATATAAGATACTATTCAAACACATAAATAAATGAATATATATATATATATAAATGTATGTGGTGTGTAAGTGTGTGTGCGTGTGTGTGCAATGCAGAACAGAACACCAAGCAATCATCATTTATCGATGGACTATTCGTCATAACTACGTTTGGCTTTGAATAATTTGATGGCGATATTAATATTAACAAGATTCACACATGCACACACATATTTATTCCTTCTCTCGTTCATTCGTTTGCTCAATCATTCATTCATTTATTTATTCATTCGTTCGTTCGTTCACTTGTTCATTCATCGAACCAACCTGAACAGGTAACTAGCGAAGGTAGATAGGGCGGATGCTAATTATTTAACAATATTATACGTATATATAGATATATTTACACATGCACATACACATACCTATATATATATAAATATATACATACGTACATATATATATATATATATATATATATATATACAATATATGTGTATATACAATATATATTCTTGTGGTACAGATGGTTCATTGAATGACATAGGTATGCACGCATTTGTTGATGTTGTTGTCGATGGTTCGGTGACGACGAGGACGACGATGTTGTTGATGATGACGATTATAACATGAATGATGATGATGATGACGATGACGACGATGATGTTGTTATTGTGAATGCAGCTCGGCTCCCACAACGATCAATTATTATCGTGAAGTGACGTGTGGGCTGGCTTATCGTAATCAAGTTGGTGGATTGGTGATCGAGGGCGAGAAATAATGTGGGTATCAATTTAGATGAATGGGTGGATAAAGAAATGGATGAATGAATGAATGAATGAATGAATGAATGAATGAATGAATGAATGAATGAATGAATGAATGAATGAATTAATGAATTAATTAATTAATTAATTAATTAATTAATAGAAAGTTTTATCATGTGAACAAGCTGAAATGAATTGTCAAGCAAGTTAAAGAATAACTAGCGAAATAAAATAAGTGATGCGCTGAATGGATGAACAAATGGCGAAATGAAACAATGCCTACATACTGATGAACTAAGTATTATACACAAACACCACAAATGACTGAACCAACAAATGAATGAATAAATGAATGAATGAAAATATGGGATGAGCAAATCGATCAGTCATTTATTGACCAGCTTCGTAACTTGAAAAGAAAACAACAAACCTTATCACCATCGTCATATTCATCTTCATTCCATCCTCCAACAATGACGTCATCAACAATGGATTGTGAATCAATATTAGTTGCACAAAAACAACTTATCAGCATGTCAAACCGAAAATTTGTTTTGTTTATTTTTTACTAAATTTAAAATGATTTAGATTTAGTTAACCTTTAAAATGAGTATATGAGATTAAATCCACGAAGATAATTTGAAAAAATTCATTACGTTACGTCACGTTTAATTAAGTTTACAATGAAAGTTTATTTTTAGTAGTTTGCTATTTAATTACGATAATAGAGAAACGACGGTTTTAATTTCTCGAAATTGTTTTTTAGTTTTGTTTGTTTAATCTTTTTTGGGTTAATTATTTTTTTGAAGTGTAGTTAATTAGCGAAGAATTCATGCGAGGACATTTATTATGTGCAACAACTGCTACCAAGCTGATCACTCAGGTTCAGGTAACAGGTCAGTCCACCAGACAGATCATCACAGACCATCAATCAGTCTCCTCTGTGTCGAATTTTATTTTTATTTACTGAAACTTTACTAATATAATCAGCGTTTATGAATCAGTTCAATAATTAGTCAATCAGTCAATTTATTAATTATTCTCTTTCATCTTTGTTCAATTTTTATTTTACTACCACTATGCTCTGACTAACTAATAATAAATAAAAACTAAAGTAAAAACTAAATAAACTTAACATGTTAAGTTTTTGAGAAAATGAGGATGAATGCAATGAAAATATAATAAAGAATGCAGTGGCCATATATATATTTATATATTTTTTAATAATGTGAATTATGATGCTTGATGCATCAAATCACCACATGGCATCATGATTGATTCTGTTTATTTTTAAAAGGTTTTAATATTTCAAAAAGTAAGAAAGAAAAGCCTAATTTGTGTAATATTTTTTAATTAATTAATTATAAATTTGAATGAAGATCAGGCAGAAAAAGAACAGACAGAGATGGTAGGCGGGCGGCCTATGAGCCAACAACATTAGAGCACCTTGCCAACATTGCTACACATGCAGTTTGTTCTCTTTGCTTAAATATTTTTACATATTCATACTCTATCCTGTCTGCATATTTTATAAACCAATGTATATTTTACCTATTATGCACTAAATTTATTATTTTTTCTATGTCACAAAATTCATTAAAATATTATTTGTTTGGCAAGAGGCACAAATTTTGAGTTACATTGTGAACTTTATTCATTTATGTTAAATTTAATTATAAGAAAGTGAAACAAACAATCAGTTCATATTGCAATCATTTTTAACAAACCCTAACCATCAGATCTTGATATTGCCAAGTTTGAAAGGCCTCAGCTGGATGTTGAAGATGTCAGCTGATGCTCGAACATTTGCTGTCTGCTTGTTGTACGGGGGCTCCATGTTTGCTCTCTTCTCTCTCTCCGCCATGTTCCATCTTCTTGCATTCTCTTCTTCTCGCAGCAAGTCTGTGTTGCTCTGTCTGCTTGTTTGTCATATTATGTCTTTGTTTTTCTTCTCCATTTGTTAGTCTAACAAATTATTTCGTACTTTTTATGTGTGTGAGTGTGTGTGTATATGTGTGTGTGTGTGTGTGTGTGTGTGTGTGTGTGTGTGTGTGTGTGTGTATGAGTTTGTGTACAACATTTATTCATGTTTATATCTAGATGAGGTTGTTTCTCTAAATAGCTTATTGAGTTATTTAATCATGTTTAGAAGCATTTGCTTAATGAAAGCAAAGCTTATAAATATATGATCGTATAAATATAGAGATGATTATGATCTAAATGAACAGCAAATTGAGATGGTTGTTGCACCTGTGCGATCGAGGAATCATCTACATCTTCATAGCTGCCTCATACACGCCATGGCTGACGTTGAAAGAATATCACGATGCAAGCCCTTCTGTCGTCCTTGCTCTAGTCTGGCTGGCTGCACTGCTTGGCATTGTTTACCAGTGCTTCTATTATGAGAGGTTGTGATTGGCTGGCTGGTTGGTTGGTTGGTAGATGATGATTAGCTGGCTGGCTGGTTAATTGTTTATAGCTAATCTTTTTATGAAATTAATAATGGATAGATCATGAATGAATAAATGATGAATGAATTAAATTATGAATGATTGCCGGCTAGATACAAATGGTTGGACATTGTCTTCTACCTTTCATTAGGAGTCATGCCAGCTATTGTCACCTTTCAAATGGTTAACTTTTTCTATCATTTTCTTATTTCGCCATTCGTTCATTTATTCATTTTTTTATTTCAATAATAAATACTTGTTAATAAATACGTTTTGCTGGCAACACTACTGAATGTTTAAAACGTTGACCAGAAGAGCAAGGAAGGTGTGATGGAGATGGCCACAGGCGGAGCGACCTACATCACCGGCATCATATTCTTCAAGTTGGATGGTAGACTCAACTTTGCTCATGCCATCTGGCACTGTTTCGTTTCCCTCGGTGCCTATGTGCACTATTGCGCTGTTTGTGGGTATTTATTGGCGTTGGATGGTGATGCTGGCTTAAGAGGATGATCTTGGATGGTGATGCTGGCCTAAATTTGCTGTTGTTAATTATGAATTGTGAATTATGAATATATATATATATATATATATATATATATATATATATGCTGTATATATTGTTTTAGGTTATTAATATATTTTATATTAATGTATAGAAGATGTTCTTATTTAGTTCTACTTTTATTCATTTGTTTGTTTTAGAGAGTTGTTGATATTTCGAATGGATGCAATTCTACTCTGTTTTAACATTTTCAGTAATCAATTTTCAAATTGTACATCCAAATATATTGAAATTGTTGGTAATATATATCGACATTGCACACATTATTATTTTTTATGACAGTATTGGAGAATTATTACATAAACGACTAACATTGATTAATTTCCTTATTAGTCTGCTGCAATAATTACTGATATCCTTAAAAATGTGATATAAGTATCATGATATAACATTTGTGACCCGGATACATATGCATTTGACCCAGATACATAATTTTACTTAATTAATTATCAATTTTTATGCAATTTACATTTAATTTAATTGCTTCGAGATTGTATTAGCTAGTCCACGTCAATTGCCATTGTGGTTAGTGTTTATAATATAATTATTGATATTATATATACAAATATATACATATTTGAATTTATTTATTTAAATATTTTTAAATAGTCAGTTTAGTTTTTTCTTCTTTTTCATCATTCATCAAACATGTCTCTGTTCATTGGCATGGTTACCATTATTTGAAATCATTGCATCGTCACAGAGGCGCAATAGTTTGGGTCAAGTTCTGGATTTTCATTTTTTAATTTATTTGATGTTTGGTGGGATGACTTAGGGCTGCAGATTATATAACTACATACAACAACAACAACACATGTTTAGACGACATTTTCCCCGAGATCGGGGGTTGCCGTTTGGCTACCTATGATGAAACCGAAATATAACTACAGATTATATAACTACATATACGTATATATTTATTTACATTCGTAAAATATATTTTCACATGTCGTTATGTATTTAAATTAATAAAGTATTGTTATTTCGTGACATTACACATATTCTACATTTTTGCAGAGCGTGATTGAGTTCTAGAAATGTACGCTATAGAAATTTATTTAATTGATTGATTGATTGATTTGTTAGAAGTCTTAAGCAGTACATTTTGAATAAGTTGTGCCAACTAGAATCTTCCACACATTCCATATACTATTTTTATTACTACTTAGTCACAGAACCATCGTCCCAGATGTACGGATGTGCTAATGATAAAATTACTGCCAGTGTATGTATCATTCAGCCATTGATTTTAATGATTCTTTTGTCTAAATTATTTATAAGTTATATAAATATATATATATAAATATAAATAGGGTTGAGACTGTCGTAAATACAATTGATAAAAAATATCACTGCATTTTCAGCTTTGATCACTTTCTGGTTCAGTTTTTCAATTTCGTACCGTTCAATTTTTTATCTTTTTTTCAAGCTATTTATATACTTTCTTTTCTATATCAATAAATTGAAAAACGGTGATGAAAATACAGTAAGAAATACTCACATAAACACATTTATTTATTTGTTGTTTCTACTATGAATTGGTGAGTTAATTTGTGTTACAACAGCTTTCTTCTTTGCAGATGTTGAATGTATTCCATGGCTAATATACTTTAAAATATGGTGATAATGAATGAACGCTTCAAAATGTTAGCTCCTTAATTTAATGAATGTTATTTTAGATAATATAATGAACGTCATATAACATTATTCAATGTTTAAATTGTTCAATCATTCATCAAAAATTTTCTTCAAGGTACCTATGTAAAATCATTGCGGAAGTCAAATCTTCATATTTAGAGTTTAATTTCAAGAAGTTTGTCTCATTCGGTCGATGGCACCAAGTAGGCCGTCCCAATGCCGAAGTGACCATGTCTGGCCACGACCAACATCACATCGTACTCGTCCAGGTGCACATGCACCTCCCTCTTGCCAGCAGCACTCAGACACAGATGCGCGATTGTGTACATCGCCATCTCAAACTCTGGACTCCTACCGATCATGGTACTAACAATTGGCTTCAATTCACCTCTCCATCTGAACTGATGCGTCAGAAAGTGTGGTGTCGGTTCTGACTTATCTGTCTGCCATCAAGTTTTTAAGATTTAATTTTAGAGATTCACCAAAAACTTCTATTCACTGCTAACACTAACTCTACGATTTTATTAAACACTAACTCTACGATTTTATTAAAGAGAAACTGAATAAAATATTTTCCTGCTAACTAACAGTTCCTCTTCTAAAGAATCCCATGTAATCCAAGTTCCCTACTTTTTCTTGGAGGTAAATTTGAAGCCAGTTGTGGAAGCCGATGATCTCGTTGGACCTCATCTCGCCAACAAACACGTGCTCGAACCCGCAAGAGTTGACGTTCCTACGAAGTTTGGTCAGCATTGCTCATTCAGAAAAAGTAAGATTGAATTATTTCTACGAATAACAACCTTATTAACAATACATTGATAAATAAACTCATTTGGAAAAGGCTTGATTTGTTATAATATTCTTGCTCTCAGTTCACTTTATAATTGGTTTAATGAAATTACTCGATCAAACTAAATAGGATTAATTAATTAATTAATAAGCTGAATCACTTGTCAGTTGAAGATCTCTTATACATTTTGAACCAAATGTCGAATAATAATTTCTTGAAATCGTCCTCACTTGCACCCACCATATTCCGACTGTTCAGATATTTGTGGGTTTCCTTAATAATTGAATTGTTGTGTCATTTTAACTTTATTATTTGTATTGTTATTTTTTTATTAATCGTTTTTATTTAATATAATTTGATTATTGTTCCGTCGGCTTCACCAAGAACCCGAAACCCTGACGCTGCACTCTTGCGTTGACTGGTAAGTATTGCGTATTAACGTTATACACCATGTTTTTTAGATATTCGAAATTGGTTGGTTGGGAGCAACCTTCATAACTCTGGTTGCAACGATGGTCGATAGGAAATTATCCACCTCTCCCCTTTCCAGGTCTGTTTCAGTTTCTGCTTCACTGACGTTTATGGCGTAATTGTCCAACAACGAGATGAAAGCTGGAGTAATGATTTCAATTTTTAGTCGTTACATATTTAATTTATAATAAAAAATGTTGGCTTCAATTATTCTTAGAACATATCGCTAAAGAAGTACTTACAAACTCACATACCGTGATGTTTATAAATATATATTAGTATTACTATCATATACATACAGAGTAATTATTCTTTATGTTGTAGTTGTGTTGTATTCAATAAATAATGTCCGTTTCGTACCGTCCATCTGAAAATGCAATGACCTTGCTTCTATTTATACATGCCTAATCGCGGTAAAAACTTAGAGTCCACGCTCGTCTGTCTGAATTTTATCAATGTTAATGTCAGATAAATCAACCTTTGATAGTGGGTTTGTTGAAAATTCTATCCTCATTGAAATGTAAGAAAAGATTTTGACTGGCCTTATCTCTCAAATTTCCTTTTGTTGCCGTAACAAAACCTTATTGTACGTATTGAAAAGTTGAAGTTATTTTTTATAAATTTTCCTTTATTTGATGTTACTAAAAAGTAAAGTCACCTTGCAGGTTGAGTTTGTAGTCGAGTCCAGGTGTGCACCGGTTGTCATCAACGTTCCAGAGCCGTGTGAGGATTTCAGATAGTTCTTTATCGTATATCCTTTAATTTTGTTTTGTTCCACTGTTTTATTATTAATTTTATTCTGATTTTGTTATTTTAAAAAATATGACTAACGCATTTGCCATTTTGATTTCTGAAAAAATCGGTTTGATTGCTAGAACACACAAGGCTAGATATTTGTAACTTGAAATGAGATGGTATTCCCTCGTTTTAAGTTGAAAGTTTTTATTAATTATTGTTCTGCCTGCATTCAACAACGATACGTCTATAATTGCACACGTACTTATAAATTCAAATATATTATGCCTGCTATCACACGTAGCTTGTGTATATGTTATGCAGTATTATATATTGATTCAATTCATGCACGCATGCGAATTACTGCACGTCATTTTAAATCGCTTCGGTGTACATGCTTTACGATCATGAACCACAACAACATTGCGTGTTCGGTGTTCGTATAGCTGTTCGCGTTTCAATTTTTACATTTATCACGCATGAATCATAAGGAACCGAACCAACAGATCTAAACATGACCGATATTATGTTGCAAGGCTATCTTTGATAAAACTCATTTAAACATCTTATAAACAATTTTTGTTTAGTGGTGGTTATTTGACGCTTTTATGTCATTAATATCGTTTGGGTGTTCTACTTCTATGTTGATTGGCTGAAAGGACGCCAGTTGCACGCTGCTGTTCTTTGCCTTTATTCTATAAAAAAAATTATTCAGCGAGTTTTCAGTTGTAATGCCTGTTAAGGTGTGGAATTTTTCAGTGATTCTGGTGTTGTGTGTCTGTTTCACTTAGTTCTAAATAGCTCCTGTTTGCACTGATATCAAGAAGGTTAATTTGGTCTTCGACATACCGATATATTTGGAATTTTAATGTACACTCATTCCCTAACTTTACAATTAAATGAAAACATCAAATTTCTGTAAACTATAAATTGTGATTCCATCAATAATTACATATTAAATATTATAACTAAATATTATATTGAGTAATGTGAAATACGTATAAATGCATACTTTGAAATGTAATAAGGTTAGAAGCATCGAATAAACCTACAGATAACAATAATTATTAACAGTTACTGATGTTCATTGTTCGGAGTACGCAGTAACTTTGCGCAAATTAATCATGCAAGGATCTCGGGAACGCCGATCCGACCTCTCTGCCATGGGCGTACGTCATGACTTCGATGTTATAATTCTTCACGTGGACAGCAGGGGCTTGCCTGAACCCCATCATGAAGACAACCGTGTACATGGCCAACTCGAATTCAGGACTAGTGCCCATGAAGATTGATGTAAATGATTTGCCCGCCTGTCTCTTCCAAACGAATTGAAGTGACAACATGCGCGGTTGAGCTTCTATTTCCTCCGTCTTTTTTGTTTTCATTATTATGTAGTTATAATTTTCTTATTATTGCATTAAACTAATTTGTCTCAAAATTATATTTAAACAGTGAATGGTTTCTTACAGTTCCTCTTCTAAAGTAGCCTCTGTAATCCAGGTTGCCTGCTTTTTCTTGCAGATACACCTGGACCCAGTTGTGAAAACCTGATATATCACGGGACCTCTTCTCACCCACAAACACATGTTCAAAACCGCATGAATTGATGAACCTACAATTATGATAGGAAATAATTACCATAATATTATTTTCTTTATTGCTATATTTTCGATAATTTCATCGAATGTGATAATATTTGCTATTAGAGCACTGAACTGAATGACAGCGTAATTTATTTTAACTCAAGTTTCATCAACTGAACCTATCCTCTCGCGTCCTCTTGTACAATTTGAACCAAATGTTCTGAACTTCTGTTTTGAAGGCTGCCATACTTTGGCTGGCCTTTCTCTTTGACACGAGGAATCTGTGCGCTTCCTAGCAACAGTAATAATTGGTTGGGTATTAATCTGTGGCAAGGCTGGGCAAGGGGAGCCGGCGCCCACAATGAAAAACTTTGCCAGGTTTCAGCCCCCACAATAATAAAATTAAGTTAAATTTTGTATAAAGCCACTGGTCTAAATAGTGTAATTTATTCAAAAGATTGCCAAACTTTTTCAAACATTTTCAGAGATTTCAAGCTAGTCAGTGAGTAGCTAATTAAGCTGAGAGCATGTTGGAACGTGTTCGGCGTTTTATGAGAGAGATATAAATTAAAGACATACCTATAGTTAACAATTATAATTATGAATAATGATATTAATAAATCAATTAATGAACTGAATGACCTTCATAATTTCGGTTGACATGATGGCAGTCATAAAATTTTCAATTTCCCGCTTCTCTTCGTTCGTTTCAACTTCAGGTAAATTGGTCTCCGTCTCATAGTTGTCCAACAATGCTCTCATTGCTACGTGCGCATATCAGTTTGTAATTTCGTACATTAAATATCATTCTGTTGTTTGTACATACACATAATTTGTCATTTTGTTGTTTATTTTACACATCGTTTTGTTTGTACATGTAGTCAACATGAAACAATTGATGACAACCATGACCTAACAATGTTTAATTATAAGAGTTCAACTGATTGATAAAAGTTGTTATATTTGTACCTTTAAAAGTTGGTTTGTTAAAGATTTCAGTTTCATTGAAGAACGTATAGAGATTTCTACTGGCTCTGTCAGTGTACGTCCAGTTCATTGCGGTTACGTAACCTTTATGACCATTCAACGATCAAATGAAATGATTTCCGTTTTTTCATAAAATTCAACAATGAATTACAATATTCTTCAGAACAAATTTTTGAATCATTTTCCAGACAGCAGCAGCTATAGCACCTTACATTTAATTAATTTAACAAAATATTCATTATTAGAAAAAAAATCATATTCACCTACCTTGAATGTCAATTCGAAAGTCTTTGGGAGGTTCACATCTGTTGACATCCAAGTTCCAGAGTTTTGTCATTAAAGTAGAGAGCTCTTCATTGTAAGTCACAGCGCTGTTTGAAAAATGATATTTTAAACATAATCAGACATTTTTTTAGATTTGCATTAGTTAATTTATTTTCAAATAGAGCAGAAATTTGTAGATAATTTTGTTGATATTGGAGAATGTATTTTTAAATTTAGTGGCAAGGTGTTGGTGTCGCTCTGCTAATGTAAGCTTGAATAAGTCATATTAATTCAGATTTTTTAGACAATGAATATTAAAAATACGATATTTATCGTTTTTGAAATGAAATATTAACGTTACCACAGAACATTACTCCAAATAGTGCTGGATAGTAGGATAATTACCAACAACTTCATACTTGCACCTATTTTACTGAACCAGCTGAAGAAATAACTGTCTGCTTGTTTCCTTATTAACTAATTCACTAACGAACAAACAAACGAACATGTTTTCCACACATTCATGCGAGTATTTTGCGTTATTTAGACTTTGGAGCCGAGGCTTCAATGCAAAGTTTAATTCTTAGAAATATTAAAATGATTATTTGTACTATGGTCCTATTTAATGCTTTCTATGTAAATAAATTACCAAAGTATTGTAAATTCAATTTTTTTGTGAAATAGAAAATAATTTTAAGTTTGAAATGAAGTTTAGTATAAATTTTTGGTTAGTTGGTGTCAGCGTTAGGGAACGTTAGCTTAACAAACGTTTGTTGACTTCTCAGACAGGTTAAAAAAAACTAAAAACTTAATCTTAAATCTTAATTAAATTTAAATTTTAAAATTTTAAATAAAAGCAAAATAAAGGTATAAAACTATAAAATAAAGACATGAGTTTTTATTCTACGGTAAAAGTTGGGATAGGTGATGAGATCCTCGCATCTGCTCCGAAATGTCCACATGGTTGACCATTTTTTTAAAATTGTTTTTCATTCAATCAAATCTACTTCTCATTTTGTTTATTTCATTCATAATTTCTTAATCATAATGATAATCTCCACTTTCTATGACAAAAAATATTAAGAAACGTTTAATTACTTTTATTTTTTTTGCAGAACTTTTTAATTTTTTAAAGTTTAACAACTAAATATAAAATTGAAACAAAACAGAGCAAGCATACTTACTAACTTGTTAATCATTTATTGATAATAATATAATAACTCACATCAGGCCCAACAATATTATTTGAGCGATTCGCTAAAAGAGGGGGCCACAAAAAATTTTTTGCCTGCTCAGCCAACAGAAATAGGAAGCTATGTAATTTTTATCAATTGGTTGAACGAGATGGGGTTGCTGCTAAATGTAGGGCTGCCACTGCTAGTGCTAATGTTGTTGAGGACATTGATAGAGTTCAGGATGCTAAAAAATATAGAAATCGGTAGTTATAAAATTCAAAAAATTATTTTCTGTTCATTAATTTTGTTTACAAATTAATTATAAAAATTTTTAGCTGGTCAAAATTTGTGAAACAGGCAGCTAACATGCGAACATTCTGTAGGACTTGTGCAACACCAATTTTAGAAAATTTAAATGTAGGTCATGATGATGGCAATGATGATGATGAGCACATGAATCATAACATCATGATCGGTGTGACTAATAGCCAATTGAAGCGTCCGACCAACCTGATTGATCCACTTGTTGATAATCATTCAAATGCGGTTTGTATAATTTTCATTCTTTTCTTTCTTTCAGTGTTTTATGTTTAGATATATTATTTTAAATTTTTGTTGTAATTTGTCTTGTTATCATCTTATCACCATTAACATCATAATCATTATCATTGCTTACATCACTAACATCATCACCATCATTGCTTTCCAGCAGTACATGTTCAGTAAAGAAACCAAAGACTTCTTAATCCATTCCATCATTGATCAAAAATTCAATCATGTTTTATGCATTGGAGCACCTAGGTGGGCAGAGGGATAATAATCATATTATAAGTATATTAATAATAATTTATTGTTGACATTTATTCTAAAACTTTTGGTGAAGAGGCATTCATTTTTAAATTTTTGATAAAGTAACATTAAGATTTTTTATTATACCTATGTAACTTGTGTATTCACAGCATTCATGAAGAATTATTGGTGATGGGGAAACAAATGAGTGGTGAAAAAGATGATGGTTGTGTTATCAACTCTTATTTGCTAGATTTGGATGAAAGAATCATCAAAATGTCACCATCTTCATCGCATTACAACATGTTCAATCATTATTTTTTTACTCCTTCAAGCAAATCCGAATATCTTAAATTCTTAAAATCTGCTCGTGACCTAGATGAAAGTGGGTCAAATGTCATCATCCTTATCGACCCACCTTTTGGAGGTTTCATTGAATTGATTTTGTTTACATTAGCAACGGTTGCTAAGGAATTTTATGGGAAAGATTCAAAAAGTTGGTTCAAATTGTTTTTTTAAAATTATCTTCAACATAATAATTATCTTTAACATCATTTTTATAATTATTAATTAAATGAAAATTATGAGCAGGAGAGCTCTGCACAATCTTGTTCCATCCTTATTTCATGGAGGAGAAAATATGCTCCAAAACATCATTCAACATGTCTGACTACACGGTTATAATGATGATAATGATGGTGGTGATGATTAGGATGATGGATTGGATTATTGTGACTGTGATTTCGTCTGTGATTGAAGTTTTATCATCATCATCATCATCCTATCAGGTAACTTATGAGAACCATAAAAAACTGAGGAAACGCGAATTGAAATCAAACGATGATGATGTTGACGACAAATCAGTAGTTCGAATGTTCACTAATATCCCTCTATCTAGCATAATATTGCCAGCACATTTGGGATACCAGTTTGTGAATTGTCTGATGCATGCATGCATTGTAAACGAATAATGCATGGATAAGTGAATGAGTTGTGAAGTGAAAGTTATTAATCAGGAATGATTAGTGAATGCGTTTAAAGATGTATGGATGGGTATAATTTAAGGAATTGATGAATTGTAAATAATGAAGTAGATGAATGTTATTTAAAAATTGTTGTAATTTTTGTAAATTATTATTGTTTATTCTCGTACTGCAGATATTGTGAGAGTTGTAAGAAATATGTGAGCCAGCACAATAAGCATTGCTCATCATGTCAGGCTTGTACTACTAAGGTAATGGGACTATTGTAAAATTATGGCTTGTAAGGTGGTATGTATTTGTTGGCAAACGATGATGTTTGTCTCGTTTGGAACTGCCATGTTGGTTGGATTTTTAAATCATTTTTTTGGCGTGATTATGGCAAAAATTTATTTAATCAATTAAGTTGACAATTTATTACTATATTTAGGTCGGCAAAACGTACCAGCACTGTGAGAAATGTCGGAGGTGCGTGAAGTCTTCATGGCGGCATTGTGACGAGTGTGGTGCCTGTGAATTACCTGATAAGCATCTCAAAAAAAAATTCAAAACTTAATTTTGCCTGTTCTATCCTCGCTTGTATTTGACCGTATATATTAATTTTGTGTTTGGCTTTCCGTAAATAAATAAATGAAAGTGATTGCGTTTCATCTGACTGGACTGCGCGTCTAATGAATGAAACATTTATTTGATCGCGAAAAAAAGGCTTTTGTTAGGTTAGTCACTAAAGCCGGTCGTAACTAGGTGATGATGGCAAAGGAGACAATTTATTTGTGTAATTATCGAGTTTCTGTTGACGGGGATTGGCTCTGTTTAGAGGAGCTTCACGATATCGAGTTGGACGTCGTTGAACAAGAGCAGAACGCAGATGACGATGGCGAAGGTTCTCTTCGTCTATCTGTTATGTTCAATATATAATAAAATTTTAAATAATATCGTGTGATCGCCCTATTCATCATTTTTGTACGTTTAAAATTTCAATGAGTAAAATTATAATTTAAATAACGTGCCACTCCTACAAAATTTTGTTTTAATAATTAATAAATGTCAAGTGAAAGATCCCAGCTTGCTAGAGCGGACAAACTTGTTGAATGTTCTGAAGCTGATAATAAAAGAAATTCTAGATTCTTCGCTCTCACACGGTCGCATGTTGGATGACAACAACACTGCTCTTCAGCAATTCTTCCTGGTTCTTGAACATATTTTGAGACATGGATTGAAACGTTAGTGAATGTGGATGCTGGCTGGTTGATATAATTAATATCTAATCCTACTATTCACTAATCTCACTAATCTAATTTAAAATATTGATTCATTACTATATTATCTGTGTGTAACTGTAAAATTACAGCTAAGAAAGGTTTGATGAGAGAAAAGAGAGATCTATGGGAAGTTTTGGAGAGGATTGAAAAGTTTTGCAATGAAGCCAAGGATATTACATGGAGTGTCAGGGAACTACCTAGTGTTAAGTTAGTCTTCACTTCGGTCTAAGTGATATTTTTAATGTTGTTCTGTTTTTCATAATGATTTTATTATTTCATTGTGGCTACTCTTTTTTATTGTTGAGACTGATGTTTTGTTGCTAGTTGATAGTTTTTTCACCTTGTGACAAAATATTAATGTTATGTCAATAATAGAAAGATGATGATTATTTTGATTGATTAGAACTCCACTTGGCCGAGCACGAGCCTGGCTGAGGTTGGCCCTCATGCAGAAAAAGTTGGCAGATTATTTCAAAGTTTTGATTGATAAGAAGGAAGAAATATTAGGGTTTGTATTACATTTATACGTGCTTTTGTGTGTGCCTATGGTTATATATGTTTTTTTTGTTAGGTTGTAAGATTAGAAGATGAAGCTTGAAAATGAATAAAATTGTTTGCAGAGATCTGTATGAGGCAGATTCTATAATGATGGAAGAAGAAGGCATGATAATTGGAGGATTGTTGGTTGGCCTCAATGTCATTGACTGTTCACTCGGTGTCAAGGATGAAGACCTCGATCAGCCTGTGAGTTTCTAAGGAGAGTCTGGCAAAGTTGTGGCTCGAAGGGTTGTTGGCCAAGTTGTTGGAAGATTGGATACAATTCTGAAATTATTTTCAGCTTTTTGATCATTATCACGATTATATTGCCATCATTATATTCTTCTTTACCATTGTTTTCTTCATCATAATTTTCTTCATTATCTTCATCATCATCATCTTTACCATCATCATTCTCTATACCACCGCCACCACCACTACTATCTTTATTATCATTATTCTCACAACCATCATCACCATCATTGGATAACAGATGGGTGTCATTGACTTCAGCTTGTATTTGAAAGAGAACCAATCACTATCAACTAGATCAAACATGGAGATGAGGTTAGGCTTGCTTAGGTGAACTTCTCATACAAATGCTAAAAGTTGATTCAAGTTTTAAATTAAATTATAATTTATATTGCTGCCAGTCGAGGTAGCAAACAGATGGCAGCCATATTGGATCAGAAGAACTACCTCGAAGAACTAAACCGACATCTAAGGTTGTCATTAGTTCATTTTGTTGCTGCTGTTGTTGAAGCTGCCATCGAAAGTGGCAGAACATCATGAACCTCAACTCGAACAATCACAACATCACATCAGCGCAACAGTAGCCAACCTGCAGCAGAAGATGATATCATTGCAGACAGCAACAACATTGATAAAGGAAGATATGATCATTGCACACAATAACATTCTACAACTTCAGCAAGAGAACTCACAGTTGAGATCTGAGAAGGAGGCATTAATTGAAGAGCACAACAAAGCCATTGTAAGTTCATCTCTCTCTCTCTCTCTCTCTCTCTCTCTCTCTCTCTCTCTCTCTCTCTCTCTCTCTCTCTCTCTCTCTCTCTCTCTCTATTTTTTTTCTATATTTTATATTGTACTTCTTAAAATTTGTCAATCTTTCATCTATTTTTCTGTTGAAGCCATTTCTTGTATTTGATTATAATTTGCATATTAATTAGTTGGTGTATTAAATGTTTGGAAGATAAGCAGTCGATCAAAAGGTGTAGAAAATTCCCCACAACAATCGTCATCATCCACAGCAACCACATCATCTCAGAAGGTTGGTGATGATGATGTTGAGATGTTGTGTGCCGAGCTGAAGAGACAACTGCATAACGAATGCCTACTTAAGCAGGTTGGTTCAGCTGGGATTAATATTTATAAGACTGATTGATTGTCTGGTTGATTGATTGATTGATTTAATAAATGTTTGAATTGAAACAGCGTTTTTTGAAATAACGAATGTATGCGCTAATTGGTTGTTAATTCCATGTTTATTCCAATAAATAAAGTAATGAATAGATAGATAGTTATTAGTAAAGTATAATTAATGAAATAAATTAAGATTTCAAATATAGTTTTACGTTCTTTGATGGCGTTGATTTGTTTTAATGTCCATTTATATGTGATTATTGCTGTTAACGGTAAATAGAAGTTAGAGAAAGACTTGGAGCACGAGATGATAGTGAACAAGGAGATGGAGATGATGATGAAGATAATGGAGAAGGATTTGAAGATCAGACAGTCGAGCCTGGTCATCATGAAGAAGGAGAATGAGTCACTCAAACACAACAATGCTCAACTGCAAACACAACTCCAAGTGTGCTTTCTCTTTTTCTTGCTTTCTCTCTCTCTCTCAACTGCAATAATGATTTACTTATTATTATTAATTATAATGATAACCATGATTACTGTAAAATTGTTTTTGGAATTTTATAATAAATTTGTATGTGATGGTATTTATGTACCTGTTGGAGAAGAAAATGATGATGGCTGGGAATGGGCGAGGTATTGATTGATAATAATGAGGATGATCACTGTGGTACTTCTAATGATTTTATTCTTGAAATTTTAACACAGGAAGCTATACAAAATGATGCTGAAAAATCAATAAAGATTCAGCAACTGCAAGATGAACTTAACAAACTGAAGCTGAAAGGATGATGATAATGACGCAGAGAAAGATTATGATGAAGAGGTGAATGGTGATGGTCTGTAATTCCAAGTTGCTAGACTCATGATATTGTTCAAGATCATCTTCAAGTTCAATTCATCTATTATTTTAATTAATTAATTTCTTAATTTATGCTATTTATTTATTTTATGTACGTTCTTTACTCTGGTGTACATCATCGTTTCTTATTTAGATAAATTGTGTAGCTTTTATCAATTAATCTCTTTGTTATGCTTTTTTCAGCAACTAATCATTGTCTAGTCATTTTTTGTCTGCTCTGTGATGAATATATGATGTTGACAATTTAATCAAGCATTCTATTTTACGAATTTGAATCGCTTATATTTATTTGAATGTAATAACTTAAAATGACTTTTTGTAAGATGTTTTAATGTTTGAGTTATATTTCTAAATAACGTGCAGAAATGGAATGAAATAAAATTATTTCTAAATTAGGTATTTGCGCCTATATTCATTTTGTTCTGCACATCAGATGACGGCCGTTCAATTAATTTTTCTCTGTAGGGAAAGGTTTTGTATGGATTGACAGGCCACCTCTGAGTGACGCTCTCGACAAGGCACGACAATTTAATTAAGTATTAGACACGAGGTGTTGAGTAGTTGAATGTGAGTGTGCGTAGTTGGGATGGACTGTGAAAACTGACCGGTGGATTGAGCCGCAAAAGAATGGTGGTGAGATTTAAACACAAGACTCTGTTATGCCTTATTTGTATTGTATGATTCTCAGATCTATCATATCTATAAAAGTCGAACGAGCCGTTCTTATGGAGTTTGAACAGCTAATAAATGTCATACGTTAATAAGTGTTTGCGTGCGTGTGTATATAAAGCCTTGTATATTTTTCTAATTATACACGTGAGTATGTGTATAAGTGCATGTAGGATGGATGTATATAAGAATTGAAGCAGATTTACGTCTTCGTGTTGCATGCATGTGATGCGTGCAAAGAATAAAATTGAAATCTCTTTAAGAATTCGTAAAATCATTGATGATTCTATGCTTGTTCCCGTCCAATTCTTTATTATGTTATATACTCTACTTGTATTATCGAAACTGTCGGATTAGTTATTAGTAGTCGTCGCTGGCCGTCGAATAGCGTCTTGTTCACTAATTTACCAAATATTTTGTGTGAAAAGTTTATAAGCAAGTCAGTTTTTTGTATTTATGTTTTATTTTAGATTTTTTAATTTTTAAATGGATTGTTGCTCTATCAATCAATAGTCAGTGAATATAAAATTTATAAATCAATATAGTATAGTCTATTATTAATTATTATTATGAATGACTATATATAATAGTAGTATATTATTATATATAGTTGTTATAAAAATATAAAATGAGATTTTGTAATTTTTTCTATCAAAATAATTAATAATGTATCAAAATATCAAAAATTTTTCAAAGAGTAACAACCTCAGTTGAAACTGAATCTGAATCTTTTGTGGAATTTTTGGTTTTTAATAACCTTAGCTTAGTAGTTAGTTAGCCTTTTAAATTAAGAATCTTAACTTAATGCTTAATAAAATTAGTTATTCTATCTATCTATTTATTTGATTTATTTATTTTTAATACTTTATTATATGTCTTTAATTTTTTATTAGTTTATTTATTGAAAAAATTATAAATGTTTGAAATTATAAGTTAATTGACTAAAATCAAATATGTCTTAATAATAATATGTATGTCATATATATCTAAAAAAAAAGACTTGAGCTCTTGCTTGTATTTTTTTAAAAATTGGCTTTGTCTTTCATCTATTTTTATTTTATGAAGACTTAATAGTATAAGGCATAGAATTGATGTTTTGTATGGCTTTATTTATGAGTCTATAATTAATAATACAATTATTAGAGTTGTAAAATGAACACTGTCCAAGGTAATGAGATGAAGGTTGATCATAGATGCATAGATTTTAATTCTGTAATCTTCACTCACTCATTCTTTTACTATAATTGAATAGCTTTATTATTATATTATATTATTGCAATGAATAATAATAGTTGACTTGGTGAAAGGGTAATCAGTTGTTTAGTCTATTTTTGTAGTATGTATGTATCTTAAATAACTTTTTACATGATTATAAGTCAAATAATTATGTTTTTTAAGTAAATAAATAAATAGATAGATAAATAAATATATAAATTGACAGATATATATATATATATATATATATATATATATATAATAAATATAGATATACAGAAGCTGACTTGGTTTTTTACAGATGTTATTTACTCTCTATTTTTTCTTTTTGTGATGAGGACTGCATTTCATTTAAATTTTTATAACTTTTTAAGTCTTTTACTTGTTTGTGTAACAATAAAATTATACATCCTCTCCTCTCTCTCACTCTTTCTCTCTTTCTCTCTTTCTTATATACTACAAATATACATACATAATATAATATAATGGTATATAGCTATTGATATAGTGACATATAGCAACATGTTAAAGTATGAAATAACTCATAACCCTGTATACAAACAGGATAATCTATTACTATATATTTCTACTCATGAACGTATGTGTGTGTGTGTGAGTTTGTGTATATGTGTGTGTGTGTGTGTTAGTATGTGTGCATGTATGATGAGTTCTGGCTAATGTTATTTATTGAATTTAAAATCATCCCTCAGGGATTGTTGTTGAATAGATGAGGACATAGCTTTCATTTTTATCTTGAGAGAGATAATTTATATACCTACATATGTGTGAGTATGACATAGTTTAAATGGTTATAATTGCAGTTGTAAGCTTTTGTGGTTTGTGTGTTTATGTTTGCAAGCTGGAAGATTTAAATAGATAATGATATGGACATGATAATGCTGATAAATAAATAAGTGATGAAATTGTAGCTGATGATGGCGATGATACTGACAATGATGATGATGATGCTAACGATGATGATGATAAGGACGAGAGTTGTTGTGGATCCATGCTGACTCATAAGTTTTTTTACCCTTTGAATTTCTTTGCATGTCTTGCAAAAATGTGTGAGCTGTACTCTTGTGCGGTTTGTTGTTGCTGTGTGTGCGTGCGTGTGTGTTGAATTACTAGTAGCACAATAACCTGTGGTTTTACTTTTACTGGTAGTATTAGTATTGTAGTTTTAGCATTTGCAGTAAGTTGCAGTTGTAGGAGTAGTAATAGTAATTGTTGGTTATGATGTAACTGTACTACCTTTCTCTTACAGGCACGTAAAATGTGCGCGCGTGTGTGTGTGTGTTTAGTATGTTTATTTGAAGAGATGTTAGCGATATTTTTGTTGGGTGAGTAAAGTCCCTGATGATGATCTTTAAAAGATGAGGCTGGTGGTGATGATGATAATTGTAATGATAATGGTTGTAGGGGTGATAATGATAACAGTGGTGATGATGATGATGATGAGACAAAGCACATGATGATGATGATTCAATTATAAGGATGGTCATTTATCATTGAATTAACAACTTGATTTCTTTTGTTAGCTTCACTCAAGTGATGATGATGAGGATGATGATGATGGCGATTGTTGATGACGATGTTTGTATTTGTAAACATGCAACTCAAATTTTCAATTTAAGTTTGTGATTACATTTAAATTTAAATTTTTGGTTGCATTTGCACATACGAGTTTGCAAAATTTTGCACCTTTGTATTTCAGGGTCAGCTGCCTCTTCCTGTATAAATAATCAACAACAACGGTATCATCATCTTCAACACCATCGTCTTCAACATCATCATCTTCAACATCATCGTCTTCAACATCATCATCTTCATCACCATCGTCTTCATCACCATCGTTTTCAACATCATCATCTTCAACATCATCATCTTCATCACCATCGTCTTCAACACCATCATCTTCAACACCATCTACCTCAAGCCCAAACATATACATGAGCATCGTATTTATAATATTCTGAATTGAATTTTATATCTGTTCCTTCCTTTTCATCACATTCTCTCTCTCTCTCTCTCTCTCTCTCTCTTTCTCTCTCTCTCTCTCTCTCTCTCGATACATACATCAACATTTCTAACTTATTGTAGTAAAGAATGAGAGATTATAACTAAAGAAGAGTGATAAGTAAATTGGACATAGATAGATAATAATTAGGTGTAATATCATTTATATGAACTGTCCTTCTTAATCATTACCGCCACTGCTGCAGTTCATATTAACATCTACCAAATCCATAACTGAGTTGAAATGATGCTACCTAACAAGCCCCTCTCCCAGGCAAACCATCGACCAATAGAAAACAAGTGTTGTGGGGTAGCCTTCCTTAGGCATCTCATTCATGTCTATAACTGCCTGCTCATGGTCTGTTCGTTTTTTCATGGAATTAAATTTATTGTTTATAATTTAACATTCGTTGCCTAGGTGTCAGGGTTGGGCGTGCTGGCAGTCGGTTTATATGCATTCTTCCTAACACATCACTACACGTCGATTATCGGTGGCCACTTTGATTTCTACATGGCTTCCATTTATCTGCTGATCGGGACGGGTGGTCTGATCATCATGGTTGTCTTCGTGGTTGGGTGCTGTGCCGTCTGCCAGAAGAACCGAACTTGCATCATTCTGGTCTGTCTCTCTCTGTCTGTGTGTCTGTCTGTCGGTCGGTCTGTAGCGCAAAAGAACATATAAATTATTCAACTGATGAGGGAATGAATGGCGAATAACAATTGAGCACCAATGGATTAAATGGAAAAATGAAGGAATTGATATAATTTATTGATTGGGAAATGAATGAATGAATGAATGAGCTAATGAATGAATGAATGAACATTTCCTCACACAGTACTCAGTGTTGTTGTTGGTTGTCTTGTTACTGGAGACATGTGCTGGAGTTGTGGCTTACCTTTATGAAGCTCTGGTCAGTTTGTACGATGACGATGATGGATATGACGACAGTGATAATGATGATGATTATGTGGATGGTGATGATGATGCTTTAATGAAAAATTCAATTGAAGTTGAAGAGTCACCTCTCAGTGAAGCTGAGCAACTCCATCTTGTATCAGTACCACAATGTACCATCTGTACAGCAGTCTCTGGATCATCTGCAAATTAATGTTGGTAGTGATGATGATGATGATTTGATTGTAATTACTACGATGATGATGAAATTACATTTTCATTCGACCCTTCATCCATTCATTCGTTCATTTATTCATTCATTCATTCATTCATGCATTCATTCTTGCGCCATAGCACCAATGTTGTGGTTCTACATCCTACAAAGACTGGCTATCGAGTGAATGGTACATGTCAGTTGAGCACAATCCTTACAATGCATCAGTTCCCATATCTTGCTGCAAGTCCCAGGAAGTTGCTGGCTGCGCCAACGCCCATCAACCTGACATTCACATGAAGGTATCCGACCTTTGTGTCATTAATGTTGGCCAACTGCTGCTTTTTCCTGGTCATTGAAAATAAATTAATTTCGTCTATGTTGATAACTAACTAACTGTTGGTGGTGCTCATTCACGTTGTTTCTCACATAAAAAATAGGGCTGCATGAAATCGTTTGAAGGCTTGATAAACGAGCAGTTGATTTTGATTGGTGGGGTGGGGTTAGGATTGTGCTGTTTGCAGGTTTCTTCCTTTTTAACTTTCATTTCAATATTTTATTATCAAAATCTTTTTAATTTATTTTCGTTCAAATAAATTTCATTACTATTGTAGCATAATTGTCGATGCTGTTATCAGTCAGTTGGTTAGTCGGGCTAACGTTGGAGAATTGATAATGTAACATTTCAGATCTTTGGTATCGTTGTGTCATGTTGCCTTGCTAAGAAATTGAGGAAATGGAAAACAAGAGAGAACCAATACTGGGAGTGAAAGATATAAGTGGATGTTCGATATCAAACTAAATTCTTTCTGAAGTTGCAGGCAAGTGTTCAACACCAAACTGTAGTCACTATCTTCTATATTTGAAGCATTCAATGTCCTATTTAAAGTCATTTTTGAGATGATTTTTTAAACATTATTTGATTGAAAAAGTCTGGAATTATTTGTGGTTCTTCGTGTTTTTATGTCTATGTTTTATGCCTTTTAATTCATTGCATTTAACTTATTTGTGTTTGTGTGCTTGCCTTTATATTAATAAATAAATAAACTAATAAATATAAAGGCTAATAAATAAAACTCCTCAGACAAGTGTTGAACCATTTTAAATGTTCTATGTAGTTTTTTAAAATGTCAAATAACAACGATGCTCTATCTATGTACACACATTCTCACAAACAACCAGCCTATACTTGTAATGCAATTGTTTTGCTTTATATTCTCGCTCTATCTTATGATATTACCTTGGTTTAAGTTTTTACACATTGATCTCTTCTTTTCCAATCAACACTTTTGTGAGCATGTAAGACTGCTCTCTGCTCATTTCAAAATGTTAGCTTCTACCAACAACAGTTTTTTGATATGTTTTTCGATTTGTGTTTATTAATATGAACTCTCGTTCTTTATCTGCTAATCTAATGTTGTGTTATTATTTCGCTGCTCAGTTTTATTTCAATTTAATATATTACGTTCGTATTTCTTGCGGTTGTTATTTTTATTCCTATATTGAGTTTACTCTACTCACTGTTTGTTGATTACCATCTGCAACCTATGCAGACTTTGTGCATATTCTCAGGTAATATTGATGAGTTTTTTACACACACACACACACATATATATACATATATATATATGTATACATACACACACTTATATATATATATATATATATATATATATAATATATATGTATACATATGTTCGGCAACCCCCGATCTCGGGGAAAATGTCGTCTAAACGTGTGTTGTTGTTGTTGTTGTATGTATACATATGTTAGACAAAGTTGTATTCCTTATTTTAAGCAAGTTGCCTCAATGTAATATGCATTTTATGTTGATCTTCTTGATTGATTGATTGATTGATTGATTGATTGATTGATTGATTGATTGATTGATTGATTGATTGATTGATTGATTGATTGATTGATTGATTGATTGATTGATTGATTGATTGATTGATTGTGCTTGTATAAAGTTTCAGGCACATTCTGTTGTTTCATCCCATTATAATGTTGAGACTTATGTAAGTATTTTTAAATAGATGTTGCTTTTTCATTCAAAACCTTTTCTTATTTGAAGCAATATTAAATTTACTAACTCAAAATCTGTCAGTGGACATTTAAAATTGAAGCAGAAAGTGGAGCCAAATAAATTTGGTATGATGAAGCAGAAAAATTGTCGAGTTTATAGGGATGTTCGCAGTTTGCACGATGATTTTTACTTCAAATTTAAAGGTTCTCCAGTTCTACGTAGATTAAAATCTTTTGTCTTTTATTGACGATCCTACTCTCCTTGTTACTTCTTTAGTCTTATCCGGGATTGATTATCGTAACTCGCTTTAATATGGTATTCCTAATCCAACACTCTATCCTATCCTATAGGTAAAGCTTTTAACACTGCTGCTCGTACCCTTATCCCTCATATTTCTATATCTTGTTCTTTTTGATAAACAAAAGTCTAAAAAATATATGCCTATAAAAAATGGAATAATTTTTAAAATTTGCGCATTAGTGTATCGTCTATTTGTTCTCACTTTTTCTTAACTCGTGTTAAAATTGCTAAATCTGCATCTCCTTTTCTGACTACTCCATTTTTTAAAAACCCATCTGTTCGCAAAATTCACTGAACAGCATTGTTGAACATCGCGATAATAGCGCTTTACAAGATGATTGATTGATTGATAGATTGAGCTGTTATATCAACTCCATTTATATGTTACCACTCATGTTTTGTGTCTTTGGGTTTTAATGGCGACCATCGGGCCGTGCTAAAAAAAACAACATCAGAAATAGGAATCCACTGACATAAAGTTTTGTAAAAAGTAAAAAAACACTTAAATTTGATGGTCAAAAGTCAAAAAATAAAATTTTCGTTAATTTATTGGCTTATATGTTTCGCGGGTGTCAGCTACTCTGCCACCATCCGACCAACAACATGGGCTTGCATACTTTTGTCGTTATCGCCTACCGAGTTTGGAGTTTCATATGCTACTGCGTACGCAGGCAGATGAGAACGGTACTAACTTTGTCAGATTTTTTTTCATTTTTCATCCAAGTGCAGTTATCAGGACAGCACTGCTATGCATACAATGTACATGTTAATTAATTTAATTTAAAATTAATATTATTTAAAATTTTAAACTAATATTAATTTTAATTCAACAACTATTAGTAGGACATGAACATGAAATCTTCATAAAATAAATCATAATTTAATAATTAAAAAAAGGTTAATACTAATAACGTTAATATTATTACAATTTATATTTCATTATGAATATAATATAATTAAAATATAACAATAAATAAATTGGTAGGTCATTCAGCATCAAACAGTCAAGTACCCACTTATGCCTGTCTCCTACATACACAGAAACAGATTAAGTACTTTACTTCTTTCTTTTTTCACAAACTTTCTTTAAGTTAATAATTTATTTTTTGACTTTATTTGTTTTTCAATGTCTCTCAATAATGATAATACTATTTAACATTGTTGTAATATAATGATGAGAGTGGAATAGTGTGAGATATGTGATCAATTCGTGTGCTGCATTTATTACCTTTTGTCTATTTTTTTCTAAAAACTTACTGAAAGGTCAAGTTTTTTGAGTATTCTTTATCTAAATAAACCCTTGCTACTGTATATCAAACTCTGAAGTAGTGATAATGTTCACATTTTTTTATTATGAAAATGATTTCAAACTTAAAATAACCCACTAGATCGAGTAAAAAGAAAAACTTTGGTGTTAGATTTGGATGAAACGTTAATACATTCTCACCACGATGGTATATTGAGGCCAACAGTCAAACCTGGCACTCCACCCGATTTCATTCTTAAGGTAACTTATCAGAACATACTAAATACTGGTTTTATTGAAATTTTACAATTTTCATTTAAATGAAATGTTCATAAGTTGTGAAATTGAAATATAGTAATAGATTAGTTAAATCTTATCAATTAGTCTCAATGGTTGTTAATGCAGGTCGTCATCGACAGGCACCCTGTCAGGTTCTTTGTGCACAAACGACCCCACGTTGATTTTTTTCTTGATGTCGTTAGTTCCATTTTGTTTTTTCTCACAATTCTTATTTCTCTGCCTAAGTTTTTTTATTCATTATACATAACTTGTCAATTCACTTGCACCTAATTATTTTTGTTGAACAGCTAGCGATCAACTTTTTACTTAGTAAAATTAATGATGATTTGTGATAATATTAAATGATAATAATGAGTTATTTGGATTGCATTAAATGCTGATATGTTAAGGTGAGTCAGTGGTATGACCTGGTTGTCTTCACAGCCAGTATGGAGATATATGGTTCGGCCGTGGCTGACAAGTTGGACAAGAACAGGGGCATCCTTAAGAGGAGGTTCTTTAGGCAGGTTGGTCACATGATCCTGTGTTCACATGATGACATACATTACATTTTTTTATCATCATCAAAAAGTTTATTTTAGAAATAGTCATTAAATTTGTCTTTGTTAATGTTTCGTCGTCATATTTTTTTTCATTGCATTTGAATGTATGCACACGCTTACACATGTGAGCGTAAAGAGCACACACACGCGTTCACATGCACACACATATGCAGCACTGTCAGTTGGAATATGTTAGTTACACAAAAGATTTGTTGGTAGTGAACAACGACCTCACTAGTGTTTTTATCATGGATAATTCGCCTGGAGCTTACAAATCCTTCCCAGGTATAATTATTTTATTCATATTGTATAACTTTAGTATAGGAATCACATAAAATGATGATGAAAACTGAATGATGACAGACAATGCCGTGCCGATACAATCATGGTTCCAGGACCCTCGAGATACAGCACTACTAAACATACTTCCGGTGTTGGATGCTTTAAGGTTCGTCTCCGATGTCAGGTCCATATTGAAGAGGAATCTGCACCTCCCTGCTAGCTGATACATCATTCATTATTCTTCATTATTATTGTTCATTAGAATTATTTCTGTTCAATATTATTATGCATTGTTTTGTTTTGTGTAATTATTGTTGTCTGTGTAACTCTAACAGCTCGTTTGAAAAAGTTTATTATTTAGTAGATTGCAGTCATCGTTCGGCTGTCATCGCCGTGGTCCTCATCAACGTCATCAGTCGTGGCGCTGATGTGCATTATGATTTATTAACTTATTGAATGTTAATAATGATAATTTAATAATTGGCGTTGATGTTATGATTGCTACTTTTATTGTAATTATTATTATGATTATTATTGTTAGTTTTGTTTTTACAGGCTATATTCTTTTACAGTTTATTTAGCTACATTAAAGTTTGTTGCGGAATGTTAATATTACTTCAGACTGGTTATTATTATTATTAATGTTATTGTTATTATTATTATTATATTTGTTACGATAGCTATCATCACGTTTGTTATTAACATTTCATACGTACCCTGTGCTATTTGTATGTATGTCCAATGCAGAGAGAGTCGTTTCGATAAGAAGCTGGTTTCATTGGCAATTTGGTAATTTGTGGATCACATGTTCATTCATTCATTCGCTCATTCGTTCATTCTTATATTTATCCATTCATTTCTATCCTTAATCATCAACGTCTTTGTTGAATGATTGAATAATTTTTTAGGTGAAACGAAAATTTTTGAATAAAAAACTGTAAATACAATCAGTTCATTTTTTCAACCTGTTCAAATAAGGCGAACCTCTTTGGAGTTTGTTATGAAGTTGTAACTGACACTTGCCGACTGCGAATGTCGGCCGCACCATTTCCTACGCTGTTTCGTGTGGTTTCAGTGAATGGAATTTGTGCGAGGTAGGTAGGCAAATGCTGGATTGATGGGCTGCTGTCGTGCAAACAGATGCAGGTAGGTGGGTGGGTAGGTAAGGTGGGTGGGTGTGTAGGTAAGGTGGGTAGGTAAGGTGGGTCGGTGGGTGGCCTTCAGAGCGATGTGTATGCACTGCTACCGTTTAATAACGTCGAATATTTGTCAACTTTTTTAACGCTTCTACCAACAATTTTAATAACTGAATCACCGTTTAAAATGTAAAAACTAAGCAAAACCAAGAAAGTTTACCGCTGGCTTCAAAAATAAATTTGCAGAAATTAATGTGTTTAAAAGGAATGATATGTAAATGGGATGAGATAGGTTTAATAAAATATAAATTTATAAAAATTCGCATTGTCCACCGTTATGTTATTTAAAATCTTCCACCATTGTTTCTGCTATAGTTGACCTCACTTCCGTTCGAAAAGTTTCTAGAGTTCTGCCTGGCAGTCGATCTAACAGGAGAATTTGAATAAGAATCCTTCTCGCTATGATACGAATCTTTCTCCATCCCGGATCTATCAGATGACGATCCCCTCTCCATCCCGGATCTATCTCTTAAAGAAGTTCGTTCGTCCACTGAAGAGTTCATAGTTCTATCGGGTGATCGATTGACGGGCCGGTCAGCAAATAATTTAGACCTGCTGTTGCTTAACGATCTCTCGGGAGAGCCTACTCGCATGTTGTCTGACCCATATTTGATGTTGTCTGACCCATATTTGATGTTGTCTGACCCATATTTGTTCTTCAGCTCATCGAGTTTTGATGGAAAAGGAGGAGGCGTACGATCTGGATATTCTTCTTCGTTCGGAGGATCTGTGTAGCAGTGAGTGTTGGTTCTTTAATGTCGTGCTTCATTTTTATGTTTGTGAAAATGGACGGCATAATTATTAGCTATTTAATTTTTTATGAAAAATTAGCGAAAACACTTTACCGTAGTAGTTGTTCCTGCCTCGAAGTGCTTGATAACCCTGCTCTGAGTGAATAAATAATTAATTAAGATTCAAATGCGACATATGAAAAGTCTTTTCTTTTTAGAAATTCAATGAATGGCATTGAAAGAGGCCATAAATCACACTGGAATCATTGTATATTTCAGTACCAAACATCAGGCGTCATCTTCCCACGGCAGTTTAATAACAAGTTCATTTTATTTTGTTCAACCTATCAATTTGTTTATGAATGCATATCTAGATGGGTGTATGTATGCATATGTATATATTTATTTATAATATATATATATATATATAAGTGTGTGTGGTTGTATGTACGTACGTTGATGTTTATTGGCTTGAATAGATAAATAAAAAAAACCAACTTGCTGTGGCGAAATTTTCATCTAGAACATTCGAAACTGCAAGTGGGTTATATTATCTCATCAAACGTTATTGTTATTATTATTATTGATAGCGGTAGTAGTAGAAGTAGTAGAAGTAGAAGTAGAAGTGTTGCAGCAGCAAGGATCACAATAACACGTCCAATAAATCATTAAAATTTAATTCGCAAGTTGATGTTAAGATGTTCTTGAAACTAAAAAGTGACTCTAAATTTTAATTGTTTCATTCATTCACCAACTGGACAAATGATGAATGAATGAATGATTGATTGATTTAAAACCTTTCCCAATGTATTGCTTGGCGTTGGATTGTGCTTGGTTGATTGCATCATCAATTTGTTTCTCATGTTTAAGGAAGAGAGGTCTGATGAGGAAGTTGTATATGAAGTCGGAGCCGTTGCTTCTTATGGGTAACATGCACCATATCAAAAAGATGCACTGTGTATGTTTATTTGTTTGTTTTTTAGGTGTCTGTTTTTGTACGTGTTTGTTTGTTTGTGTGCGTGTGTGGTTTACATTGTAGTAAATTGTTTTAAAATTAATGGCCAATGCATGGGTCAATTAAATACACTTGACATAAATTGAAACGTCGACGGTTTTTGATTGAAAAAATGCGAATTGTCCACTGAGATTAAATACTTTGGTGAACTGGAAATTAGTAAAATTTGTGATAAAAATTAATGATCTGGAAAATGATTAAGTGACCTTTGTCGTCCAGTAAAATGGAAACCAGAAGAGGAATATGTCCGTCAGACTTTCAGAGAATACGAAAAATCCGTAGACGACCCAATAAGTTAGCCACCTCGTGTCGTCATCTTTGTTCAAACTCTCAATCGCTTTTATGCTATCAAAGTTTTTTGCAATTTATTTATCTATGTGATGCCCACACACACGCACACATACACAAAACACACGCACACATACACAAACCACACCACACACGCTAACGATGCATAAGCAGGATAGAGGAATCCAACGCAGTGACTGATTATTTCAGAGCCCATGCAGAAAGTTACTAGCACGAAGATCATTAGCAGAGTTGCTATCATGTTTTTATAATATAACAATCACTCTGTCAGTCGGTCGGCCTGTCGGTCAGTCGGTCAGTCGGTCGGTCAGTCAATCAATTAATCAATTAAATGAACCCTGAACAAATCTCAATCTTGGAATGTGAGTTTTTTCTTCAATTTTAGTCAGCTGGTCATTGAATGAATTTTTTTGGTGCAATTTTTCATCAAGTTGTTGCATCATCTTGTCCCATCTCTCGCGGACCCGGCTCCAACCGGAAGTCATCCTAATGAGAGTGAAAATAATGATGATGATGACGATGATGATGTCTTGTTGTTGTGGCTGTCGTTCTTAACGCCGTTTTTCATTTTGTTAATGCTGGCTGCACAACTGGTCAGTGGTCACCGCACGCTGCCAGCCCACTCATACGCCATTGTTGTTGCATAAATGATGACTACAGAGCCGGCGATGATGATGATTGTAAAGATAAAACAGACGATGAGAATTTTACAAGGGACAAACTTGCATACAAATTCATTTGTGGTTGGATGTATGTGTTGGACGAATGGATGTATGCTACTATGGCCGTACATGTTGTTTACTGCTGATGCATGTGTGTTTGTTTGTGAGCGTGTGTGTGTGTGTGTACGTGTGTGTGTGTCTCGTGTACATTTTTTGTGATTAATTTTGTCATAGAAAGAAATAATATTTGTGTGATTATGGCCCACGTTTTTGATGACACTCGTCTTCATCCATCCATCCATTCATTCATCAATTCATTCATTCATTCATTCACTAACTTGAGTTAAGTTTTCTTTGCCAAACACAAAGGCTTTATTAGATCAAAATAAATAAAAAATTTTTATGAGAATTAAAATCAACCTGTTTGACGGAGACAGCAAAATGAAGCACATTAACAAAAAGCAGTCACTAAAATATAAAAACTTGACCAAAAATATAATGAACCGTAATGCTATGTTGTTGTTGCTGTCGCTATTGATGACGTTGTTGATGTTGTTGTTGATGACGTTGTTGATGTTGTTGTTTTTGTTGTTGTTGCTATTGATGACGTTTATGTTGTTGTCGCTATCCTTAAATATTGTATTAATTGTAGTTGCGTGTACGAAATGAATAAAATGAGCCTAAGAAGCAGATGTTTAAAAGCTGTGGTGATGATGATAATAAAATTATAATATTTAAAGCAGCTACTGGCAAATCGTTCGTAATAATTTCAGCCATCTAACAGGTGTGTTTACATGTGCATCGCCACCGTCATCATCATCAACTCATCTTCATCATCATCATCATCTTCACTATCTCAACTTCATCGTTACCATAACAACGACTTAACGACTAGGATAGGATAATAATAATGATAATAATTGTGATAATGATGATGATGATTATGACATACGATTTCTGTTTTTGGTAAGGCACACACACGTTTAAGTATGCATGCATTCATAGAAACAGAATTGCACACATACACACTCGCCTGTGTTGAGTCACATCCTCACATCACAGCGCAACATAACATAAAACATCCAGAAGACTCACTGTACATGTTTCACACGCAAACAGACAAAGGTTGTACGTAAAATACACTTCACGTTCAAACTGCCATCATGTGCATCAATGTCAAATTTTTAGACGATTGGTCGTTATTTAAAACAGATTCAATTTGGAAGAGTATGCCGCCGCTACTACTGCTGCTGCTGGTGGTGGTGCCAGCAGTTTTGTTGTTAGCAATATTGATGCTCACACGAGGATATGACTCCGAAACTAAACGACGATTACATCTTTAACACGGTCATGTTATAAAAAGAGTTAATTTCATTGGATGAACGTAGATTATTGCTACTTGTAATTTATTTAATCCAATCTTCAACATGAATTATTAAAATGCAATCATTTATTTTAATGTATTAAAGTGAGATTTAAATGTAAAAATTAACTTTATATTTGTTTGTTTATTCTTTTTATTACTATCTCGTTTATCATTCGTTGTGCTGTTCAACAGTTATTAAATTCAAATTCTTATTTATTAAACACTTGTTACTTTACTTTCAACGTTTTCAAACATTTGACATCAAAGACATGAAAACAAACGAACGAACGAACGAACGAATATTGCAGCCAGTCAAAGCGAAGAACAACAAACAAATCAACAGCGGTTACAATATTTCAATCACTCTCAGCTGCCATTTAAATGTTCTCCCTGCAATGGCAACTGGATTAGTTACTGCAACAAAAATTGTGCTCCCCTCATTTTCACACTCGCACGATTCTCAAAACAGCAGCAGCATTATTTGCGTCGCCATAACTCAGAGCACTGCTGCCGGCAGTGGCAACAACGCTACCACTGCCGGCATTTTTCATGGCGCCAATGACAGCATTACCACTGACCACTTCGACTTGACTACCAGCCAGTACCACACTGCTTCCAAACGTTCCTGATAAATAAGCACTCCCCACTTTGAAAGAGCCATCAACGGCGGTTGATTTGTTGCCGATGTTATCAACTGCACTCGTTCTGCTTTCGTATCCACTCGCTATGCTGCTGTCGTTTTCAGCGGCAGCCATCAAAATGATTCCTCCGCCTCCACCGCTGTTAGCACCGCCGACCACCCCGCTGACCACCCCGCTGTTACTAGCATCAATGTTATTGACAGCAGCGTGGTACGCATTCACGTCAGCATTCTTCATCTGCTCAACACCAACTACAACCGCTCTGGCAACCGCTTCTACTGCCGCCGCTTCGATCAGTTGTCTGTCGAGAAACTTTTCTTTGTACTCTTTCATGAGTGGAGAGTTGACGTCAAGCCTGTTGGAGTAGAGAGCGTACTCGATGAGGACCTTGTGGATGAAGATGTACTGATTGTGCGACTGAACACTTTTGAAGCGCTGCTGACGGATGCATTGAACAGTCTCCAGAATGTCAACGAGGTGGCACGTGTTGTCAAGCAATTTGTCGATGCTGATGTCAATGGCCATGAAGGTCCCTGCAGTGGACGTGGCACACCATCAGACTTGTGTGTGTGTGTGCATTACATCATGCATCTTACATAATTACATTCAAAAATGCATGCATAAATAAATAAATAAGCATTCGCACACGCACACAAACAAGTATATATATATATACATACATATACATACATACATATATATATATATATATATATATATATATATATATAGGGACATTCATGCATACACGTGAATTCGTGCTGGCATGCATATATAAATATATGCATGTACTTCAATGATTTATTTGCTGCTATTAAATCGGCTCTTGTGACTGCATCATTAATTTTTGTTATATGATGGTGCTTTTGAAAAATTATGCAGCTCTTATTCATGAAAAACGGTATTTGGGTGTTAATAATAATAAGAATAATAAGAATAATAAGAATAATAAGAATAAGAATACGCAAACAGACATGAACAAGCATTTGACTTAAAAACACAAACACTCCGTACAGCTGGATGCTGGCTAACAAACAACCATGTGGTAATAGAACAACAAAAAGCAACGACGGTGATGATGATAACGATGGATGAGGACGATGCTGATGATGATACCTGCCCTTCCAATACCAGCACTGCAGTGAATAAGTAGTGGGGGAGCAGTTGGGCAATCAGGAAAATTTTCGGCCAAATGTTTGATTCGATCTCTCTGCTCTTGCCTGACGGCGAAGATGAACTGGAGGAGGTTGTCAGTTGACTGCGGCACGCGACTGTCCGGCCATTTGTTGAAGTGCAGGTGAGTCACACGACGCTCTATGTTCGTCTGCCGGCAGTTGAGCGCATTTTAATGTTGTGTGAAACTTCGAAAACTATTAATTGTGCATTTTAAAAACTGTTTAGTTTATTTTCAATTTTCGGTCTAACTTTTAATGCAAGACCTGCAATAGCAAAAATTATTTCCGTATCGATTTTGCTGCTTATCAATGTTACCATTTAAACGTGACATCATTCAGAGCTTTCTTATATACTAGGAATTGAAGAAACCTTCATGTTTGTGAGGGCGAGCGTCGATGCCACGTAATTCGGTTTCGATCGATCTGTCCTCACGTTGCTCACTCTTATTGATGCATACTGCATGCTCTCCTTGTCGAAGTTCGGCCAGTATTGATGGCATTTAATTTTTGTCGATTCCATTTGGCTGTTTGAGGCAAAATATTATTGTCACTTGTCACCATTAAAATAGACTGGATTATCATTTACAATTAAAATTAATTTAAACAACAATGTTATACTTCGTAAAAAACTTAATAAAATGTATTAGACTTAGTGAGCATGACGATGACAAGTATGTGATAATCCCAAACCATTCTCCAAAAATCGACGCATGTGTTCGGCAAGGGACCTGCCATTCATTCAGATAGACAGTCAATTCATCATTAGAGCTATGTGACCCAACTTAATTGAAATTGAATGAAAGTGCAAAATAAAATGGTTCCGACCCTGCGTCGCTATGTAGTATCTGCTAACGTGACAACCGTCAATGAAGTTGGCGTGAATGTAATCATTACACTCCCCATTCCACGTTGACAACTTCACTCTCGTTGCATCTATACAAGGCACTTCACGATAACGATTTTTGCATTGATTTTCAGCCGCTCTAACGAAAAAAAATGACAAAAAATATATGAACAGAAATAAAATTGAATATGAATGGAATTTATACATTGACTTACTTAAAAGCCTCAAACGTGAAATTGCTCACATCAAGACTGTGCTTCATTTGCTTGTATTGTTTTGTGAGACCTCTTGGGCCTACTAGAATGCAGAACTTGACCAGTTGACTGATGGTCATTTTTCCTTGACAGGATTTTTGAATAGAAGGCACTTTTCTTTGCGCGTCCAACGAAAGCAACATTCCCCATTTGTGCAGCAGCATTTGATAATTTAAAGATTGAATGTTCGATTCATTTCTTGTCGTGAGAGAAGGACTCGTTTGCTGCCGCTTCAGGTCTTCGTATCGTTTTATCAGTCTTTCAAGTTGTTCGAGTTCTTGTTTTGCCGGGTCTGGTTGTAAAATATTAATGGACGATCTTTGCTGGTTTGCATGCGTGGAGCTGGAGGCATCGTAATGTTTTATTATTTCTTTTCTCATGTCATTTTCTCTCCTCTTTAAATCGGAAAGCTTATTTGCAGCTGCTGAAAGGTTGGAATTTTTGCTTTTCATATCATTTTTCACGTCTGTCCCCATTTTTTGCAATTGCAGTAATTGCAGTTGCAAATTTGCTGATGAAGATGTTAAACTTTTCAAACTTCTAAGTTCTTTAGATTTGGCACTTAATTGTGATTCTTTTTTATCATTTTTAAAGTCATCCTTTTTATTTAATTGATTTTTTAATAAATGAGACGGTTTAAATTGGTTAGCTTCCAATTTTTTTACATTTGGCTGATGCATCGTTGTTGAATTTTTTTTGGAAAGCTCGTGGCATTTTTTGACGTTTTCCTTTTCCTTTTTAGTTTTTGGTGATTGACGTTTAGATTTCAGTTCACGTTCGCTAACTTTAGAAACTTTTTTGTTGTCAATATCTAAAGCTTTTAAAACTTTTTCCTTAATTTTTTCTTTTTTAAGCTTTTTTGGTGACTTAGTTGGGGGTTCATTTGGCGGTTTGATTACACCTTTCGCTGTTACAACAGGCATGAATTTAACTTTTGTAAAAACTTGCTGTTTTTTGACAGGTTGAACAAAGCTTGAGGACGACATTACGGACAGCATGGCTGTCGGCTTTGTTGAACTTCTTGATTTTCCCTGACAAATGAAATCGTCAAACTTTTCCAACTGAACATTTTTTGATGAAGATCCTTCAGATTGGACGGTCGAAGTGGCAATCGATCTTGAAGATTGAGAACGCAATAATTTGAAATCTGAATCATCTATATCATCGTTGGCTACGAGAATAAATTTTTTTGATTTTTTTCTTTTTTTCAAAAAGTCACCATAACTTTGTTGATTCGGTATCATCATGATGCTGGGCATTTGAATTGGTATTTCAGGTTGACTATCTCCGGCTAATAATGTTGTTATAAGCGTTTCTTTCAACATAACTTGATCTCTGTCAGTCATTTCCGCTGGCACTCCAAGAGCGTTTTTCTTTGTTGATTTCAATCCCTTAATTTCGTCATCACTTTCTTTCACGAGATCAATTTTATTAACGTCGGCAGCTTTCTTAGAAGAAGCTTGAAGAGGCAACTCAGCGTTAGAAACAACGGTCTGCCTGAAAGAATTGATGCAATCTGCAATCCATTTTGAATGCTTGTGGCTTAAGTTGCCACCTAATTCTTTCGGCAATGAGCTCACAGGGATGTGGTTTGTTAGTTGCGATAAAGTTACAACAAAAATCTTGAAAGTAATTATAAAATTCAATCAACATAATTTAAAAAAAATTAAATATATTGTTATAAAATAAAAAGAGTGAAAAAAGAAAAATTGAACTGAACTCACTCTGTTTTGCATTTTAACGCCGATCATTTTTAGTAGTACCTGGTGCACCATTTCAAACCACTTCGGCGGTTCAATTATTATTATCTTTTTTAGTTTAGCTGGATAGCTATTCTAATTTAATAAATATTTAGCTAAAAGTTCACATAAATAAATGATTTTATCGTAAACATACTTTCAGAATATAGATCATTCTTTTACAAAGCTCAAAATCAAAATGATGATACTTTGATTTGATGGTATTGAACACCAAAACTATTCCATTCATTTGGGTCTCAAAGCTTTCAAAATAAATGTATTATTGAATAATTATAATAGAGCATTTTTGCTTGTAAAAATATTTGTAAAACTTAATTTTCCAGTACTTTTTTAGCGCTATATCTAACTGGAATAAAAATCCTCTGATGAAATTTGATTTGACGGACTGATCGGGATCATGAAGTTTGACAGTGTACAACACGATAGCTGACCCGTTAGCATCTCTACCAGGCTGCAGAAGTTTTTAAATAATTCAATGTGGCTTAATAATGAAATGACGTTCGAATAATTTTTTAGTGACTAAATAGAATTTTTGCATAAACAAACCAGCACGGTAAACTTTCCAGAATCGAGTTCTTCTAAGAATTTTTCGTCTTTAACGTCTACGTTTAATAGTCCCTCTCTTAATTTCACTTTCTGATAGAAAAAGTGTTATAAACATTAAAGTTTTATTTAAAAATTATCCAAATATTCAATAAAAACACCTCATAAGCAAAGTATAAGTCCACGGCCTTATCGAAATCAAACTTCCTCGCCACCAAATATTTAAGAGCTTCTCTGCTCGTAATTTTTTTTTCATTGCCCGATTTATTAATGATTTCATCTTTGAACTTTTTTATGGTCTAGAAATTTAAAGCTTTTTTTAAAAAATGAGATAAATAAACATTATAAGAACCTAGATATATATAAATAAGTTAAGGAGAGTTCCTGAGAAGTTAAGAAATAGAAATATTATGTGACACTCACTTGTTCCTCTTTAAAGATCAACTCGACTGACATGCTTATAAATCAAATCAAGTTGATGACCCGATCATCGAATATTTAATTTAAAAAAACGTTTTAAAAAGAAGAAATGGCAGATAAAATATATTGCCGATGTTTACCTATATGTGAAATTGTTTATTTACGGCTTATGTCATGATGTTTACAATATCTTGTCTAAATTATCTATGTTCAAATATTGCAAATTTGCAAATGTTTTCTTGTCGTCTTTACAATTATTTTTACCGTCCTCATTTTTATCTTGGTCGTCACCATTATCATCATTATTATCCTACTTTTTTATCATCATTATTAAAATCATCAATATTTTAACTCACTAATGAAAAATTCACAGCGGTCTAATTCACTTTTGCACGTCCTAGTAACCTGTTACACTTCCACGAACTCCTCCGATAAATATAAGTCATCTCAAAAACAATGCAGAGGCGTGGATGACAAAAATGCAGGATGTATTATAAATGTAAATTACGTTCTCTATATTTACAGGAAATATAATCGCAAAACATAGAAGTAGGTTTTTTATTTCTCAAATAATTAATCAAAATCAAGTTGAATTTAGAAATAGATGATGCGTATCTGCGGCGAGTGAGGCGTGGCAATGCGATTTCACAGGTCGCTTCAATACGCCGTCCGTCCATCCATCAAACAAATGCAATCTTCCATCACTAAATGGACGCCGGCTCAACATTTTTATGTACATCTAAAAATAAATAGCTGAACTTTATAACAGGCCGATCAAATTTATTCAAAAATAATGCAAACATTAAAAATGTAAGAGCGGCCTTCCTGGAATATTTTAGCGCGAGCTACAGGATATTGCGCGATAATTCTCTCCGGCCCAACTTATCATTTGCATTTTGTTGAGCAATTTCGAAACACCCGACGACAAAGATGATGAGGATAATAATAACAATAATAAAAAGAGAAGAAGACGATGCACACAACATGCACGCTGGCAGGGGCAGGCAAATTTATTGCCTGAAAAATTTAATAAGAAGTTCCATTGAGGAGCAGAAATTGCGGGCAGGCTGGCAGCCTATAACTGGATGACTTAATGATAACTGACGCTGTTCAAACACACGCAGACATTAGCAATACAACATTCAAACTCGCGTAAAAATTAGCAATTAAATAACAAACCCCAGATCTAAGAACTAGGACTCAGTCGTTCAATCAAACATAGCACAAACAGGCAAACATAAACAAAGAAATAACGAGCTCGTCTTTGCCATATGGAAAATGTAAACTTTTTTGAACAGCTAACATCAGCTAACATTATCATCTTTCAACATCATCAACAACAGCAACAACATCATCATAATCAATATTATCATCATCATCAATTTTGTCATCATCATCAACATCATCATCGTTATTATCGCACCACTTTGTGTGCCATTCCAACTCAGAAGATAATCTCATAAACAAGCATTAAAAAAGTCACAAAACATTTTCATCCTCTGCCAATATGAAACGAGTAGACATGTAAATGAGTTTATCAACAATGGCATCACCTTCTGGAGGGGGGTTGTTAGATTAGACTGCATGAATTAATATGATGATATTACATTCATAGTGAAGAAATAATGTTGCAAAAATATAGTATTTCAACAATAATTAGAAATTTATTATATATTATTTTTTCGAATGATTACTTTTGCTTTACATTCAAAAATAGTTATCATAGATATGATCCAAATTGTGGCACAGCGAGGGGCTAAACAATTTCAGTTGCTAAGCAAAAATTATTTCTCTAATTTCATTCATAAATTCTTTGAAAGTAACGATGCAAACAACCAAAGAAACCAACAAGCAAGCAAGTGCTGAACGCTGATCGCAAATGAGGATAAATTTGTCGCACAACTAATAAACAAACAATAATTTCTACCGATGTAAATGCCTTCAACAGAAGTTACTTATCCAAAAGCACTCACACACACACACACACACACAAACACACACACACACGCACCTACAACACACACATGTGTAATGGGAGGAAACACGTGTGATGACAAGTTGAATTCTGGGCTGTGAAGTTGCAAGCTGTGGCTATTTATTAAAAACATTTCAAATCTGACAAACAGTTACGTAGGCTACACGTGTGTATTCTTTTAATATTCATCATCATCTTCTTCATCATCGTTGTCACATCAATCTATGTGTGTGTGTGTGCGTGTGTGTGCGTGTGTGCGATGGGCAGAAAGTTTCGAGTGTGATAAGATTATTCACAATATGTGCATGCTGTCTGTGTACATATTTGCATGTGTGCATGCGTATGAGTGAGTGTGTGCGTGTATGCATGTAAGTGTGAGTGATGTTAATGAAGATTATAACCACAACGACGATGATGAAAACTGATTATAACCACAACGACGATGATGAAAACTGTAACGTTAAACCGATGGTGAAGATGATGTCAGTGACGAATATAATGTAGATGTATGTGCATTGTGCTGGTAAGCGCGAGAACAGCCAGAACCGGGCGGGTTGATGGGCTATCCACTGCCTTGCGCCTTTAAAGTTGGAATGCAAAATTACTCAACTAACGACTGATCAGTAACTTTTATTTTTTTCCCTAACATTTTTCTCGCATGTTTACAGTCAATACTTGCACGAACAATATTGTTCTACCTGTTTACGCGCTAATAAAATTTTTTTAAATTGTATTTGGTTTTGACAAATTAATATATTCATTGTTAAACTAAATAATATTATTTGTTGGCAATCAACTTTGAAGGACTTGACAAAAACAAACTGTTTCTTTTATTTAGAAGATAATTAGAAGCATTCACTCGTTTGTTGCTCAAGTCTAGGACATCCATGACCTAAAATCCGACTTTGACAACAATAACATGAATAACAACAACACAAAAACAACTCAACAACAACAACGGTAACTACAGAATTGCAACACATTAGAAGATGGATATGAAGAAGTATCACAAGCAGTTTCGCCTGCCTGCCTTGCATGCTTTCTCAAACGATAAATTCTTTTCTGTTAAGTTTTTTTTTCTGTATAAATACAATTTATGAAGCCATATTAAATAAATATAACATACAAATTTGAAGTAACGCAATAAAAATGAAGCATCTGTTTTGGATAGGAAGTGGGAATGCTCCAACAGAAATATGGCGTAATCGGGATAAAAATAATATCAGTTAGAACATGAAAACCATTTTTCGTTGATAAGAGATAAATGTATGAATACATATAAAAAAAGTGAGATTTTGAAAATTTTCAATGCATGCTATCATAACTTCCAAACTATTGCGAATACTAATTTGAAAATTTACATACGAAAAAATCGGACAAAGTTGATCAAAAATGTATTAATAAAAGAAACGGCTTACGTATGGACGCGGTTGGCTTGTTAAAAATCCAATCTCGTAAAATAACGCCTGATGACCAAATGTTTGGATCTCTAATTTTATTTAGGTAGTTCTTCTCAACGCAAATTCTGAATGATGTTGATTTGTTGTTCTCATCTATCTAATTTTTCCCTTCGTTCTGATCTTTTTTGAAAACTGGGTTGCATGACAGTACATTAATATTGTCAGATTTTAATTCTTCATCTTTTGCACATTCAGCAACACTGCCGAGATAAAGGTAAAATTTTGGTATTTTTTAAGCTTTTAATTTAATGTATTCAGATTTTTCCCAACTATTTTAAGATTTAATTTTTCAGTTTTAGGTAGCTGTTCGGTCTGTTCAGTGATATCGCTATTATTTAAACACCGTCTTTTTTTGTTTCTACTGACCAGTGTAAGTGGTAGTTCAGTATTCTCAACAGGGAATTTTACGGCTTCGGACCAGGGGTTTGCCGGCTGTTATACGATTTTCTTTGCTAAAACGAGCGTACGATCGGGAACGGCATGTGCTATAGTGCAAGTTTCATTTAACTTGCTTAGTATCAGTTTAAGCGCTTCTTTTTCTTTATTGTTATTTTCAATAGATTTCATTGTTTCTAACCGTTGTATATTTATCATTTCTATTTCCATGAAATAAAAATTTATTTTAATCCAATTTTCCATCTTTGGAACTTTTTCCAAGCAACTATTCACGTAAATTGAACATTTATCCAATTGATTACTTTTTTAAATATTTTAGTAATGTTATGCCTTTCAACTAATTTGTCTTTTTTAGACCAACACGTGTCATAGATTTTCGGTTTTATCAATTTTCAATATTTCAATATCAGTTTTTAAAAGTTTAATACAAAAAACAATATTCTCACTTGTAAAAAAATGGCAAGTATTAGAAACAAACTTTTCGTCTTATTGTGAACTCAAATTATTCGATAAAAAATAAAGAAATTCATTTATAACAACAGATCTCGCCATGTTTCTATTATCATCCATAGTTTAAAAATTTGCAAACAAACACACACGACACATACAAAACGCACACACACATACATCATACACACGCACAAATTAATTTTGTTAGATTGGCATGACGTAAAACTGCATCCACGCTGCCTTGCGTGCTTTTGATGTCGTCAGGATGGGTGTTCGGATGTAACAAAAACAACGGCTCCTAGTCCCCAGCAGGCCTTAAGTGGTCAAGGAGTGCTAAGAATCCCTGGGAAGTATGCAATAGCGGAGGGATGTTGCAGAAAAATTCAGAATGGTCCCTCTATGGTAAATGAAATGGATACAACCGATTGCTTGCTTAATTTGGTGCAAAAAAATGATGACAAAGAAAACAACGTCCTACCTCGGGGAAACTGGGTCTCTGGACGGTAAACGAAAGTTGATTGATTGATTGATAGATTGGAAGTGCGAATTACCTGATTTAATTTTATGTGCACGCACAAAAACAAACAACTCCCCATCAATAATTAGCTCGCAAGTCATTAATCAAGTCAAAAATTTTTTCATTAACCAGAAAATTAAATCACGGCAAGCAGGCAAACAGAAACCTTACATGTCACCAAGATGTGATAAACAGTGTAAAAAAAATAACACAACATATATTTATTTTTATATATTTATTTACACACACCCACACACACACTTATATTTTTATGTTTATTTATTGATTTTTATACACAACAACAATGAAGGAACAAATGAAGAAACGAAACGAACGGGCGAACTAACAACCATATAAATAAACATGATACACCTCACAGAGATAGCATATAAAGCATAAACCAAAGACAAGAACATTGTTTATATTCTAAAAATAAAAAATGACGTTTAAAGTTTTTAAAACACATCAAAATTTATTGTCTCAGTCAATTTTGCTAAAATTTACAGTTTTTGGTCATTAATTTAATACCTATGGTAGTCTAACAATGGTGCTATTTATCGTCTTCATAGGAAATTATTCTGGAATAAACAAACATGACACACATGTTATTACGGCTGAGAATTTATAATAATAACATCAATAAACAATATCATCATCATCATTCTTACCCCTTTGTTTCAAAGCAATTATTCTATTGGCAACATATCATTACTTTGTTGATGTCATATCGGCCGGTGAGACGTCACTATTTGTCTTGCCAATTTGCCTGATGACATTATTGACGTTATTATTATTATTGCTTTTGCTCTTGTATTTCTTTTTCATATTGTTGACGTTGTTGTTATCGTCATTATCAGTATTGTCCGTATTTTTCATGCTATTTTTGCAGCTACTACCGATGTCGTCGTTGTTGCCGTTAACAGGTTTGGAGATCATTTCAAAACATCTGTTGTTGTTTATTGGAACAGTAATAGTAAGATTGCATTCAGCTGTTGGTTTGTTTTCCGCAGTTGTTATCCAGCAAAATAAACTTTTAAACATATCTCTAAACATTCTGCTCATTGCACAGTAGATGAAAAAATTTATTGGGTAGCTAAGCAGGATGCAAAAATTTATTATCGTTTGTGAAGCATTTCGTACAACAGGTGAGAGAATATGCAAGTCCATTGAATTATCGAGCATCATGAATATAAGTAAGATAGCCAGCGGTAGTTCAACGGTTAGAAAAACGCCGACCACCGCAACAAGCATCAATGTCGTTAAATTATTTTCAGCCAGTCTTCGACACTCGGTTCTTCGGTTTTGTTTCAGCAGCTGTTTCCTACGCCTCAAAGCCTGTTTTAAAGCTCGTATCAACAGAGAGCTGAAAACGACAAGTGTGGTGCACGGAACAAAATGAACCATCAGAATTCTTAAAGACCAATAAATATTGAAATATATATTTAAATTCAATTTAAATGGATGTTTGAAATCCTTTAAACAAGCAGTTACGTTAGTCAAATTGTCATTCAAACTAGCCACAACAATCGGTACAAATTCATTTTCTAAAATACGGCATAACTGCGATGTGAATGCTAGGAGGTAAATGAATATGGAGGCTCTCACTGCATTTCTAACTGTGCACCAATTTTTTGCAAACGTCGGTCGACAAATGTAGAAATACCTTTGGACTGCCAGTGCGACTGTTAGCCAAATAGAGGCTGTGTGAAAAACAGTTGGCACGTGGTCCCATGTCAACGTGTGAAAGTAACACAAAGAATACGGCACCCAGTTTCTGTACTCAGAAAAAGAATAGAAGTAGATATAATTTGGTAAGGGAACGAGACCTGTAAGCATATCTGATATTGCTATGAAAACCAAAATAATATTTGTAGGACTTTTCATTTTTTTTTTAAGGAGGATGAGACAAATTATGAAATTTGTGAAAAGAGTGAAAATGATGATTGGTGGAGATATAAATCCATTAATATAAACTGTAAGAGAGATATCTGGAACTGTAACAAGAACATTTTTTTCCGTTTCGGAGTTTGAATTATATGTTGTCGTCGATGTTGACGTCATTGTAGTTGATGCCGTCATCGTTGTTCCCCGTTGTTCACTTTGTAGTCCTTTTACAAAAATAATTATGTTTATAAAGTTTTAATTGTTGTTGCAGACTTCAAAAATAATTAAAATAAAGTTTGACGATAATGACGACGCAAACAAAATAGACGAGCGTTTTGTTACTGTTGTTGTTGTTATAGTTATTTTTGTTAATGTTACCGGACAAATTTGTCCAAACTTCGCTATTTATATTATACACGATAGATACTGCCAAATCGAAACTAAATATTAATTAAATAATATATATTTGTTTATTCATTTAATTAATTATTAATTTATTAAAAATTCAACTAACAGTTCTTTTAAAGCGGACGTAAAAACGACAATAAATTATTCATCAAAAGTTTCACTAGTAACTCATGTTGCATAACAATGTAAAAAGCGATTATAAATAATTTTATTAAACATACATAGGAGTGACAGTATGTCAAGTCTGTTAATAATGAAAAAATTTAATGAAATCAGTATTCAGTGAGGGCACACTACAATAATTGCAATAAAAATTGATGAGAATTGTAGCGGAGCGCAAATTCACTATAGAAGCTAGCATCATGCACACCTCAAATCCCTTTTTTAAGTTATCCACGTCGCATTTTCTACGTCACACCATTTACTCGCTTCCGTTTCGTCGCTATCATACCAACCGCAAAAATAACTAAGCATCACTATGCAAGTTGTATCCCTACAAATATTTTCACCTTCGTTCAAGCTGGTTAGTTCTAGTGCTGCTCATATAAGTATGTACGCAAGAAATACGAGTATACGCATGTATACATTCAGCATGTCCTTGTCATGTATATCGCACTTTCTCACTAAATCTTGAACGCAAAATAGATGGCATTTGATTTAACTTTATTCCATTTATCAGTTAGTTTGCTGAAGAGGAATTTGTAATGATAATTTTAGATAGGACACGAATGCGTATGTTGAGTCGTTCAACGGTGACTTGTTCTTTCTAATTTATTCTTAATGCTTTTTATCTTGTATGCAGTTTTTAATGAAATTTTTTTCTAATTTTTTGAATAGTCTAACGAATGGTTTTATTTGGTCGTCTGAACATTTTGTTTCAATTTTACGATGAATTAAAATGAATTATACTAAATTACATATAAATTATGTTATAAAATGTAATTGAATTGATAAACAAACAAGCAGAGAACAGAAATCAGCATGGGAGATTCGAGAACTCGACACACCAATTCAACAGAAAAGTCATGCTACATGTCATGATGATTTTGATGATGATTATGCACATTATAATGATGAATTTGAACATATTAATGAATATGGAAATATATGATACGGTGTGTGAAAAGAAGGATTTATTTATAATTGCAAATTGCTGACTGAACAAACTTTAGATTTTGGATCACTTCGGTTTTCATCATTCAAGTTCATAGTTGTAAATAGCGGACTACTCTTTGGACAAATAATAAAGGCACTGAATGTTGAAAACTGCTTTTTACCATACAAAATACTTTTTGGTATAAACATTCTGTGGCCCGGGCAATCTGCCGCTTTTGGGCGTTCCTGATTACCTTTAATATTTTTCATATTGTCAATTTTGTTAGGTCGCGGAAATAATTTTATTGTTTTTTAAATCATGATTATAAACAAAGTTGAATTGTAGGAAATCCATATAACCGTGTATAACACTATATAATATAATATAATCCTATACAACTCTATATAACTATATATACACATACATATATGCATTATATATATTAAAAACCGTATATAACACTATATAACTACATATAATCAATAACTCTACTTAACTATATATAAATCTATTTAACCGTATATAACATATAGTTATATAGAGTTGTATAGGTTTATATATTATTCTATAGTGTTATATACGGCTAAATAGATTTATATATAGTTACCCTAACCCCAACTCTAACTATATATAATCAATAACTATATATAAATCCATATATTTATATATATGTAACCAGTGGTGTCACAAACGCTGTTCAAAAATAATTGGTAATTTATCTAAAGTGTCCAATTTTGTTTGTCCTGTTTGCTTCAATCCAAAACAACAAATTCGAAATAGCAATGTTTTTGAAGCCATTAAGGTAGAGAAAGTCACATCGTTTCAATATCTAGGGGATGTTCTGGATTGTACTGGAACAGCTGAAGCTGCCGTTCGAGCACGCATACGTGCAGCCTGGAATAAATGGCATCCCCTTGCCTCTATATTGATGCGGCGTGACATCCCACTACCACTACGATCAAGACTTTATAAATCTGTGATACGTCCGGTGTTGTTATATGGTGCAGAAACATGGCCAATGACAACCAAACTGGAACAACAACTTCACCGAACCAATATGAAAATGCTCCGATGGATGCAACGAATTAGTCTGAAGGACCACATCAAATCTACCGAGATCCTGCGTTGTGCTGGTTTAGATGATATAAAGGACGAATGCCGGCAATACCGTCTGAGGTGGTTTGGTCATGTCAAACGAAGTGGAAACAGTGACATAACTTCTCTTGCAGATGTTGAAGTACCTGGCACACGTCCCAAAGGCCGTCCAAAAAAGTCCTAGTCGCAAACAATAGAGCAAGACATGAAAGCTCTAAATTTAAATGAAATGGATACAACTGATCGCCTAATTTGGCGCAAAAAATTGATGGCAAAAAAAACAACGTCCTACCTAGGGAGAACTGCGACTCTGGACGCTAAACGATGATTGATTGATATATAAATCCATATAACCGTATATAACATTATATAATAATATATAATCAATAACTCTACATAACTATATATAAATCTATATAACCGTATATAATAATATATAATCCTATACAACTCTATACAACTAATAATAAAACAAACGAATTGGAATAATAAAAGTGATGACAGCTGAAAGATAGAAAACATGGATTGCTGCATTCAATGATGACTCTTCTACTTGTTTCACTCCATCGTTCACTCTGGCAAATAAAAAAATATTATTCTTTTAATTATAAATTAATAAAAAAAGAAAGAATATCAATATTCATTTATACTGAGAAAAACTTCACCACAACAAATTTGCAATCATCATTCCAATTGTTATTGGAATAAAATTTATCTAAATATAATACAGACATATGCAATTTATGATATACGAAAATAAGTAAACCCTAATTTAAAAATTAAGTAATAAGCTATTTGTAGGTACCTTAGTACCAAAGTTAGTCAATTGTTGTGCAAGTTCAATTTTGCAAGAATAAGATGGATTGATGAAGAGGAGGATGAAGGAAGAGATCATGATGATGAGGAAAATGATGATGCATTCTTTTCTCCCATCTCATCAACATTTGATATGCTCACATAACTCTTACTACAGCAAACAATTTTAAGGATTCCATGATATCATCACCTTCTTGCAATATCACCATTAGATGATAGATGTGTTTCATTATTTTTCATGTTATTATTATTATCATTAAAGGGGCAGTGACCACTATCATGGCTAGTAGTATTACTGTCAATTGATTTCGTATTTTCTTGTATCATTAAATTAATTAAAGTTATTAAATAGAATATATAAGAAAAAACACATCAAGACATTGCCATCATGTATATTTTTTCTTTGTTTGTATGTACGTCTTAAACTTAGTTTAATTTGTAGAATGAGACATTGACAATGTAAAATTTTAAGCATATTAAGAACAGTAGGACCAACATATATAATTTATATTTATTTATGAAGTATTAAACATGCGATGCAATGTTGTACAACTCACTGAATATATGAATGGCAGCTTATAACAATGCTCTGTTCAATACACTAAGACACATGCACGTACACATTTGTTTGTATATACTCATTATACAATACTCACATACATCATTCTATCATTCACAACTTTGTTTTTATAGATATAATTTCACTTTTCCATATTTCCTTCAATGATGTAAACATTCCATGAGCTATTGATATCTTTCTGTCAATTTCTTTTGTGCAGTTGTCAGATATTATACCACAATATTATCACAATACAAAATGAATAACAACAAATTATCTATCAATATATAGATAAATAGATATAGATAGATAGCTTAAAAATTAAAATGCTAATACTTAATACAGTATATTTATTTTATATATTAATAATTAATAATATATTAATATATCTAATAATTAGATAGCAATAGAATAGCAATAGAATAGATAGATTAGAAAAGATAATGTACTACATTCGGAAGGCATTGGCAATGATAATAATAATAAGTTTTTAAGAATTGATAATTAGTGACAAAATATAAAAATAAAAACAGTAAAATAAATTCAAACCCTGAAAACTAACCTAAAAATTTTAAATCCGGCGCTAGTTCCAAATAATTCAAAATATTAATTTAAAAGTGAATTTGATATTTATTTTTCAGGTCGAACTATTTGACTTCCTTGGATTTATTGGCTTATGATATTGCATAGCTTTTAACAAACAGTATCTTATTGAACAAAGTAGTATCATAAAATGAATAAAGATACTATTTTCAAAAATTTTAAAAATTCTCAATTTGATTTCATTGCGATATCGATGATGATGATGATTGTGACCTGACTAATTAAAAAACGTCAAATAAAATTTATTAAATAAGACGGGTAATTCGTTGCAAATGCTAATGTAACCCATGTTTGAGAGTGCGCTTAAAAATGAAACCAAGAAAAAGACAGAGAATGGCATTTTTAAGAAAACAAACAAGTAAAGAAGAAGCACTAACTTGAACGGCATTTAGTGAGAAGCTCCTTGCCACGTCAAGGCATCAGTTCATGAGGGGGTTAACTCGAGGAAGCAGGAAACTGATGCCTGATATAGTATTGCGTGATTTTACTTTGCAAATTCTT